AAATTATTCACTGACCTGTGTGTGCAGTATTTGCTTTCTTGAGAAAACAGATTGTTGACATTCCTGGTATGCCTCTGCATCTATCAAAACAATATATTGGCAACCATGTTATATTCCTGTGACTTGAACAGTACTGGAACTATTAGCTGCTTTCATAGAATAAGCCTTGACCAAGGTGCACAGACTTCGTAGGCGTCTGCAGAAATTATTTGATTTTTCTATGAATTGAGCTTCAAATACTTTTTTCCATTCAGTATATAACAATAGAATTAAAGCACTGTCTTGACTTGCCAGTTTGAAATCATCTTCCCCTTAGATTTCAGCAGGTTCTGCATTGTATAATGTAATGCTTTATGATTATGGTAGTTTAGACATGTTTATTTTGGTGGTAAGCTTCAGAGTAGTTTATCTTTTCCCTTGCACAAATGTATAAAGATAAAACAAATGAAAACATTCTCTAGCAACTTACATTTAAAACAAGAAATCTTTGCCAGTGCTGATTTTGTGCAGTCTTAGGTAAAGGCACTTGAGGCTGATTAAAAGAGGCTCAGTTTCAGCACCTGAACAGGTAGCAGTATCAGCACAAATGTGCTCTTGAAAAGAGATTGTATTCTTTCCTTGGGGGTGGTTAATTTATGAGTAGTAGATGACTGATTCACACATATTCTGACTACCCGTTCTCAGATGAGCCGAGGTCATCCAATCTGTTACACTATATTACTGTATATCGAGAAAAGGAAGAATGCAGCAGGTGGCACACAGAAATTCATAAGAAAATGTAGGGAACCTCCTCAGTCTGGAACAACACTGATTCATCCCACTGAGTCTCAGTGATCGGACCATCTAGTTTTGCAGGGATCAGACTTGCACTTCAGTGTCTCTTCAGAGACTCTTCACTGAAAATGTAGATTGTGGTTAGTATCAGTTCTCAGTTAAAGTCATAATGTTGCCATGGTGTAAGAGGTGAGCTATCAGAAGTGTGGTTTTGGGTTTTGTTGTTTTTTGGGGTTTTTTTGTTTGTTTGTTTTGTTTTGTTTTGTTTTTAAGAAAATTAAGTATTTTTCTTTTGGCATTGCTTCTGCAGTAGTAATCAGTAGTATTTCTATTTCTTAAATAATGAATATTATTTTTAATAAGTAGTTTTATCAGATTTTTATCAAAGACCATCTTTTCATATTCAGACAGGTATCATGGTTTATATATATGTATTTTCACTTGGTTTTCTACCACGTTTTTTCATTCCTATGTGCAAACATGCGTATACACACATGCATGCAGTCTCTCATACTGCTCATATATTGTCAGGAGCTGGTAGTGCTATCCTAAGCTTTTTTAGCAGGAGATCTCTACGAATGTTATTATTTGGCCGTACAGAACGATGCAAGATTTGAATCATTCAGGCTGAAGTTTCCCATTCAAGTATCAGTTTCATACAGAATCTTTTTTTTATGATAGGAAGAGTTTGTGCTTTCAAAGAACAAGGTTAAAAGAAAAGAGAGTGCTCTGTCCAAATTTGAAAAATTGTTTTGGAGAAGCTGTAGTGCATGTTCTCAGCCTTTGGGCGTGCAGGGTGGGGAAGGAAAGGAAAGAGGGCCAGAAGGCTGTGCTGTCTGAGGGAGATGCTTTTGCCGATTCTGTGAGGAATTGCCCATTTCTGACTAAGTTTTAAACCTTTGGGACAATGTTTGCATGTGATTGACAGAGGCTTGTTGGAGGTTAACCAGTTAAATTCGCAGAGGATTACACCAGTTCTGTGCATATAAGCTCTATAGAGCTGTCACTTAAAAGCTGAGGGGTTTTTTATTCTGTTGCCGTACACAGAGGTTGTTATGAGGCCAAGTAAAGGAATGAGGAGCAGCTGAGCCTCGGGCTCCTGGAGCGTATAAACTGGAACTGGCAGGCAGAGGGAGAGAGGGGGCAAGAGGGTGGAACGGGGGGACTGGTCCTGCCTGGCAGGGAAGAGTAAGACCAGATGAGTTTACCGGACTGCAGCTTTAGGAAGATGGAGCCGCAGGTTCTGTGGTGCCTGGGGTGGGTGCTGCCTGGGGCCTGGGCCGGCGATACCTGAGACCTGCCAGTGCTCTGATGCCAGCAAGCGTCCGTGAGATCCGTTGGCAAAGTCTCCGCCACCTTGGCTGCCGATGGGCATGGAAGAATACATCCTTTCTCTTCTTATATGCCCTCCTTCTTCCGTTGCGTGTTTGCCCGCTTGTGCATGAAATGAGATGGGTATCCTGGTTCTACAAATAACATTCCCACATCCTACCCAGCCTTGACTAATAACAGAAGGCCTAGCCATTGCCAAGGATCCAGCAGGGTGGGAGAGAGCGAGAGGGTTCCTGTGGGAGAGCTGAATTTATGATTTTGTAACTCAAGACTCTATTGCAATGCTTATGCATGAGGGGATCTGGTTGTGATTGCTCAGACAATCTTAACTGTGCCATTTCATATAGAGTGAGTGCTTGTCTTTGCAATGCTGAGTCTTTTAATTCAGCTTCTGTGTGGTCTGCCTGCAGATAAACATTTGTGCGTACATATGCTGTGGTGTATGTATATGTACACATAAATATATCTGTTTCTGTAACTGTGCTTAGACAAAAGGTTATGTTAGACTGCAGATAGGAATAAGACTATTCAAAGTTAAAAGATTTCAAAAATTATATTTTTGCCTGTTGCTTTTTTCCCCAGAGTGTTTACAAACCCGTTATGCTAGAGTTAACGCTAAGGTATGTTGAAATGCATGCCTCAGACATGTAGCTGTCTTACTAAAACCATACTAGTAATTCCAATATTACTAGAACGTTTGTCTCTGCAGTTGTCCTTGCCCACCCTCCCTGTCACACTGTTCAAAAAGCAGTTAGTAACTTTGTAGGTCAAGTCGAGGGTGCTTAGAAAAGGGTAGAGCACCACCAAACTGTTTTAGGAAAGAATTGTGCCCAGCACACGGTGAAGACTCATCATCTTTGGATCAAAGGGGCCTAGAGGCGATGGCTGGAAATGCAGTGAAGTTGAGGAGGTGATGGATCAGCAGCAGGGCTGTATGGACGTGAGGGCGGAGTATGAAAGGGTTAGAAAAAGGGAAACGGCTGAAGGGGTTCAGAGGAAGAGTGTCACACACCGGAATAGCTTCAAAGAGGATAGACATTATGTCCAAGAGATCAGAGGTGGAGGTGGGGTAACTAAGAAGAGTTTCAGTAATCAAAGTGCTTCAAGCAGGCATGATAATTCTGGCAGTGGAAGTGTAAAATTCCTCCTCAGAAGCACGGGGGGGGGGGGGTGGGGGGTGGGGGAAGGGGACGGAGAGAAGACATGGAGTTTTGGGGTGGGTTTTTCTTAGGCAAGCAAGATCCTGAAGACATGTTTCAACTCTGAAGAGAGGGAAGTTTCAGGAAGGGTTCACCGGGTGGCTATGACTGAAAAAATGAAGAAAGAGTTACACCCTAACTTGGTGTAGCTCAACAGTGCCTTTTTGAATCAGTGGTTACAGTCATTTGCATAAATTCAATAACTGAATCGCCCATGATGCTGAATTGAAGCAACTGTTGAAAATCCCAAGAAAAGCAGAGTGTAGTGGAAGACGTCCAGATCTGTTCAAATAATAAGCTTACTCATTTTGTGAGAAATTAACTCCAAAGCCTCAACCATTCAGATAGTTGTTGGATTTTACAGGAGAGCTTTTATTGCCATCTACTGGTCTAAATAGGCAGTTTGCTCTACTATAACATCCTTTCTAAGAACCATTTGGAAAATGTTTGCTTACTTAGAAAATATTTTGAAGAGATTGTTTCAGAATATTCCTTAGGCAAGCTTATCTTTGGCATGGTATCAGACGAGTCTGTTTGTAGTTAGCTATGTTGGCATGCCGAGCTTTATGAAAGGGGGTTCATTTAAACATCTGGAACCTGACGCGCCCATAAACGCGCTCCAGCACATGCTTCACGTTGCAGGAGTCGGCTCTGGCAGCACACAGAGGGATTTGTACGTGTGCTGTGCAGTGGCTGTGTGTGCATGCACTTTGAAAACCGGAGTTGTCAACATTTCTTTCTACTTTCAACTTCCGAACTACATATAATTGGGCAGGACTTGGAGAAGAACTTTCTCTTAATTAGTCCCTCAGAATTTCTGATTACTACAAAGCCCCACAAAATCAGCAGGAGAGCCTGAAACTTGGAGGCTTGATTAAATTAAGTCTGAATCAAGTCATTGACAAGGTGAGATTAGCTTTTTTATAAATGCAGTTATGAAAATGAAAGGCCCAGTTCTGTGTCTTTCTCAAGCAAGACACCCATTGAATCCATAATCCCTTAATAAGTTCTCTAGGATAAGTATCTAATTTCTCTGAACTGCAAAGCCTTTTATATAATTTTCTGTCTATTCAGTATGAAGTTCCTAAGAGCCAGATTTTCAGTTCTTTTCTGGAGGCATCCATGCTGGCTGAAAAGTCATTGCCAGGCTGCCGTATAACTCAAATCTGCAGAATGTTTATCTTTCATCAGATGAACTAGTTGTTTGTACAAGCACTCCCAGACTCCTAAAGATTTGGGGAACTCAAATGAGGAAGATAAGCAGTGACATTATTCATATTATTTAAACTCGCTTCACTCATTTTGACTGAAAGATAACCTGGCAGTGATAACCATTTTAGTCAGTACACAGGTGTCTATGGCCTTGCACCCAGAATTACGCAAAAAGCTCTTCACACAATGATTAAATATGAAGAAATAGCTGGAAAAAAAATGTAGCAGCAACAGAAGGCTGGGTTTTTTTTTTAACTAAATTTGCCGATTTGGAGTTTTGAACTATGTATCATATACTGAACTAAGATGACAGAATTGGGGGGGGTGGTTATTTCTATTTTCCCTGCAGCTGTCACGTTAATTCTTGAGACTACCGTGGCCTGGTCATCCTCCTAATGGCCATTGTTTGCAGACCTTAACCAAAGCCTCTGTACTCGTCGCCACTCATGGTTCCTGTTTTTTGTCTGTGTTTTTCTCTCACAGCTACAAGCCCCCAGTGTGAAAGGCTTTGATTTTGCTAAGCAGCATCTGGGCCAGCACAATAAAGATGATGTCCTGATTATCCATGAGCCAGCTCCTTTACCAGGACCTATTAAGGATACTACACCATCTGAAAATGGAGAGGTACCCAGCCCCAAATCCAAGACTTCCTCAAAGCCTTCAAAGACTGTTCGACACAGAGGGAGGTCAGTTCACAGAGATAAACCAAATTGTAGTAGATGACAGTTTATTAATGGCTGGTGATTACTCTATTTTTAAGGTAAATACAGTGTAAAGAACTGTTCCAGAGCTCTGGGACTTCTGTTTTCTAGTTGGCCATCAGAGTTACGCCTTGCTACTCATTACTACAAGGATGTGAGAATTCAGTGTCCGTTTGTCACTTAACAGCAACATGCCCAGTTAAGGAAGGGTATTTAAGATATTACTAGGTTGGCTGGAGTCAAGTCATTGCTTGTGTAGTGGAAACACCAAGTGTATGGTTTTTGATGCATTCTTTTTGTAGTGCACTCTAGCTACTAAGGCAACGGGTGGTTAAAAGCACATGAAAACCGTTGATGAGTAGCAGCATGTTTCAATAATATTAATAGTGATCAATACATGTATGATGAATTGGAATTTCCAGAAATAAGCAGTATCTCCAGAATTCAGGGAAGATGCGTGAGTGGTTTTGTTTGTGCTTACCTGGTTGCTCTCATAGCAAATGAGCTTTGGTCAGGAAGAGGAGTGATAATCTACAGCTGTGCAAGTGGAGATGTGCCTGTCAACCTTCAGCAATCATTTCCTAACATCTTCCAATAATCAAATGATGTGAATGTGACTTGCTGGAAAGGATTGTGTTTGTAGGATAGGTGCTGTAACAGAGCTATGCAGTAAAGAAGGATCTGTGGATTAAAACAAACCAAAAAAAAAGGATAAGTGGGAAGGTAATAGGTGGGAAAAAAAGTGGAGCCCTGAGGAGTGCTATGAGGAGTCACAAAGAGCTCCTTGCTGCGGAGCTCCTCTAAGCTCTACTTTCCAGTAATTCTTCCTCTTCCTCCCCCTCATATTTTTTCACTCCTTTGTGTCCCACTCTGCATCCCCTGTCCTTTTACCTGTGTGCAATTGCATGGCGGGAATAAAAAACCAAACCAAACCAAAACACCAACCAAGGACGGAGTTGAATGAGCTGAGGAAGAAACTAGCGGTGATTCTGAGTTGCAGGTCTCTGACACAGCTTGCTCCTCTGCTCAGCCTTTTGTGCTTCCTCTAAAGCCCCCGTTCTACTAAGATCCTTGCTTCATCTGCCCCATATGAGCTTTACACAGCTCAGTTTCTACCTTCCCAGATGCTGAGCCTGTCTTCCTAACTCCCCATAGGCCTTGCAAGCAATAGACTACAGTGGTACGGTGGAAGGTGGGCAAAACTGGGAAATAATGGCAGAAAAATCAGCTAACTGGTTTTGGTGTAGCCTAAATAAATTAAAACAATTTAATATAAATCAGAACAACAAGTGTTTCTGTGTTTCTGTTAAAAAGTTCAAAAGTGGTCTAAGACAGAGGTGATACTTAGGTGGAGGGTAAGGTATCTGTATTCACATGTGCATAAGTACAAGAGAAATTTAAACTTGAGGCTGTTTGTCTATTTCATCTAAAATAAATCAGAAAATGAGGCAGAAAAAATTTGTGGAGGCCAACATTTTAATGCTTCCCCTGAAGACAATAATGAATCATTGATCAAATTTGGAACAAAGATATTTCTTTTTTTAATAGCATCTAAATTCAAACACATCAAAATGTTTTCAAAAGAGAATTTCCTTCCTTTCTCTCATTCTCCCTTAAAAGCGAATCTCCCTTTAGGCTTAACTATGGAGATGTTACTGTTATCTCCCTAACATGCTGACATGCCCATGTCAGCTTGAGATTTAAAACATTTATTCCCTGAGGCAGAAGTTGAAATGTGAAATGATAGCATGGTGTGTTATGTTGGTTTTAGCTGTTTTCTGTTTTGCGAGTGAAAACAGAACTCAGTTCATCACAGTGCAGTTCGGGACGGTATGTTGCGTGCCAGGAAATACAGTGGTGATGCGAGTACACGTGCTGTATCTGTAAAAAGCAACAAACAAGAAAAGCTGCTGAGTTCAGAAAGCATCTCTAGGCTTCAGCTGAGAGTTGAACCTGTTGTTTTGGTTTGAGAAGGTACAACTGCATATTCCTCAGCACCTAGAAAGAAGGGTTGATGCTGACTCAGCACTATCTATGTTCCTATAACTTGCTTAATGATAATTTAGACTGAGGAGAGACTGTGAAGGAATACAGAGCGCAGTGACATGAACCAGAAAGTCAGTAGCAGATCTGGGAACAGAACGCCAGCCTTATACTTTGCTGAACCAAGACAAAGGTGATGGAGACAATAGTTCTGCTCACTCTCTCCGCCTTAGAAAAGAGGAGAAGATGCAATAATGCAGATCTTTAAGCTCACTGAGAACCGTTTCTCCTTTTTTCCCTGCTAATTTTTAATATAATAATTTAATCATTTTTAAATTAATAATTTAATTACAGTTCTGCAGAAAAAAATTAAAGAGTTCAGTTAACAGTGCATTGTTCAGGGAGGAGAAAAAGGGTTAATTAATTTGAAGCATTCCCTGCTGCAAGGAGAAGGTTTAACTTTCAGTAGGCTTGGTCCGGCTGGGTATGGTTATCTTAGGCTGTGCTCTAGGTGGGTTGAAGTTTAGTCAAGAGCCTAGTTCAGATATCCATCTCGCCTAAGCAAGTCTTGCACAGACACGTGCACACTTTCAGTGATTAACTCCCTGCAGGACTAGAATATAAATGTTCACAAGACAAAATGGTCACTAGAGACACTATCGCAAAGGCATGTGAAAAGACAGGCTTTGGTGTCAGCTGGGCGGTGGTGTGTGCCCTATATTTTTGCTATTTTTATACTATCTGAATAATTTTACAGCTGAAGTATTCTGTTGGGGGAAAATCACAGTATTTCCTTATATTTTTCTGTAATTGATTGCAAAAATTACGAACACCGAGATTGTCATTTGTAGGTAACAAATGTTTTTAAGAATCTCATGACTGCATGCGATAAATACATTAAAAGTATCATTTTTGAATGGCCCTACGTTTAACTAGTCAGGAAAATATTAATGTGAACTTGTAGTGTTAGGAAGAGACCACCAAGTTAACAAGTCTAAGTATTAGACTAATTACCTGTATGCGTTTCTTCTAATACAATTCTTTTCTCTCTGTAAACTGCTACTTATGAACGCAGAGTTTTTTCTTGAAGTGTATTTTAAAGGAAGGATTAGTTAATAATCTTGTCACATGTGAATCCTGTTGCAGTCAGTTCTCACATGCAACGACAGTAACATCATGGCAATGAATATCTAACTATGATAATTTAGTATAAATGTACTTATGCACAGAAAAATATTAGCAATTTTCACAAGATACTTTAGCACAGGATTCTTTGTGTGCCCCTTTGCAAGCTTGTGTTATATGTTGGTTTGTTTGTTTTTTAATGTTTGTGTCAGAGTTTCACCATCAGATCCTGACTCTACAGCAAGTGAACAATCCAGCGAGAGAGAGACAGGAGAAGAAACTGCAAGACAATCAGCTGCTGCAAATGAGGGCAAACCACACAGAGCAGTAAAGAAGGGTTTGTTACTTTTTTTTTTTCTTGTATGCACTAGCAATGCTTTACTCAGATTGAAGAGTTACTCTAGTGCTGTAACTTTTGTAAACTCAACTTTGGCTGTTAATTTTTCTGGTCTGTGTTGCAGAAAATTTTCTTCCTCTCCTTTGCAGTTTGGGTTCTTTCATGAAAACTAAAGGTCTCCACATTTGGTTAATTCCAACAAACTTTTGAAAGTATTGGCTTAGCAGAAATGAGTCTTCCCTTCTTCTCCCTCCCACACACCTCCAACAAACCTCTTTGCATTTAGACTTAATTGTGGCTCTCGTGGTAGCAATCTTGCAGACAGTTGCCTGGGCAGTAGAGGTCACAGCAGGACTTGCTACAGCGTGGGTATATGTCTGTAACTGTAACTTTGAAAAAGTGAGATGATTAAAAAAAAAGAGACCAGAGAGGTAAAAGTTTTAGAGAGAAGTTCTAATTCAGACATGAAATTGCCTTCATGATTGTGCTTTAGAAAGATGAAAATCCAGTACTAATATGTTAATAACGGTGAAATGTTTTTGTGAAGAACCATCTTCCTTCCAGTTAAAGTGCCACCATTTGTCTTGGAGGTACCCTAAGATACACTTGTTTCCTCATTGAAAGGTTGATAAAACACTGCAAACTCACCTCCATTTTTTATTTGAAACATTCATTTAAATTCTTTTCCTGTTTAAAAGTGTGTGGTTAACTGTGCCTACACAAACACTAGGTGTTTTTTTCTGAGAGCCTTTTGGGTTTAGATAGCTTGCTCGTTACTTGAGGTTGTAGTTACCAGATCTTTACCTTACATCACAATAGTTTTCCTAGAGAAAAATCTGAAACTGAGATCTGGTAAAGGAGTTTGTGAGATCCCCATCTGTTCTTAATCCACGTGGCCTTGATGGCAGTAGAAACTGAGAAGAAGAAAATATTGATCACATTGTGAGCAGTCTCTTCGGTATATTGAACGTTTTCCATGTACTCCATGAAATGCCAGCTGACATGGAAAGGTGACTCCTGAGGAATGCAGTGCCAGTGAAATTCAGATCATAGCAGACAATCTTCACGTTTTGCTCTTGTTGAAGAAATGAGATTGAGGAATAGGTAAGACAGTATAAATAAACTGCTAGCTCTTGGGTGACTAAACAGTGAGTTAAATAACGGGCAGTTCTTGAGCTTTGATAATGTGGACGACTACTGGAAGAGCAAGGGTGATGGAGCAGGCTTTCCTCTGTAACAAACACGTAAGAAGACAAAGCGCAGGATCTGCTAAAGTGACTAGAAAGTTATGCTTCCTAATAAGTCAGCACAGTGTACACTGTATGTACTTTACACAGTTTACAAAGGTACTGTACTGATGCTATCTGTATATGCTTTCAGTGCCTTAGGTTTGCTCTAGGGACCAGAAATCATGCCCAAGTAAATATATAGGAAAGCAATTATGCTATGCCAGAGCTCATCTCAGGACGGCTTACGAGTTGCTCCAACCTATCTGACTTTAATTCAGTTGCCCTGATTTAGTGCTCTCTCATTTCTTACCTGGGAACTCCATTTTTGTCTCTTCGTTTTCCATCTAGCCTAAAACTTTATGTCAGGTTTAACATTTCCTTTAGGTGTAGAAGTGTTAGGTATTGCTGCATCTTAATTATCAGGCAAAGGCAGCAGATACTGTGTAAAAGGTGTCCTTTTTACCTATCGTGCCCTTACTGGATCAAATACGCTTTTTTCCCAGCATTTGGTGCCTCTAGTTTGGTAATCATAGGGACTATTTTTAGCATTCAGAATTGGAGGCACTGTCTGCAGAGAGCTCTCTCTCTGTTAAATGGCAGATTCAGCTCCCTCTTTGTGCAGCTGAGGCTCGGCAGTTTGATCCAAGTTCATGCATTTCATTCAAAAGTAAATGCAATCATCTTACTGCTGTGGTTTTTTTCCATTTGCCATTCCAGCTGAATTATTTGTAATAATTACTGTGTTGTCTCTTCTTTTTCCTTTATGTTGTCAGGAGCAAACAGAGTGGGTAAGTAACCAGAGCTGGTAGTTGAGTACAAATATGAATAGGGGTGCTGGGGTAGCTGCAATTATATCTTACGGATGGAAGGATGTGCCTTCTGAGTCTAAAACACCAAAATTGCTTTTGAACTATTGAAGTATAAAAAATTCTCAGTAACACAAATTATAGTCATCTAGTTTAGGCACGTTTTTCTAATTTCCTCCCAATTCTTTCAAATTATGGAGGAAAATGTCACTGTGAAAGAAGCAAAACTGAGGCAGCTGTTGGTCCTGAAACCAGCTTTATATAAACAAGTTAGAGAAATTGTTAGAGTTCGTGTCTTTACTGGAAGCCTGGAGCAAACGCAAGCTACCTGCAAAGAAGCACAAATATTTTATCTTGAACTAATGTTTTTCCGGTCAGGACAGAGACGTGGCAAAGATGAGCAGGAGAAAGCTGACACTGTCGTTGATAATGCCCACCATATCTAGCGATAAATTAAGGACCGTGTCCTCTGATGGCAGTTGCCATGGTAAAAAGAGTAGAGAAGGGTGGATATAAGGCTGGCTGTGATGCTTTCTGTTGTTGGGTTTGTACAGGTAACTAATGAGAGTCATCAGCTGCGTTCTGGGGACATAATCTACCGGGATACAAAGAAACTGTGAAATTTATTTGAAATACTGAAATATCTGAAATCTCCGCATACTCTGGCGTGATTCAGATAGCAGTGGAAGAGTGGAAGCTTCCTACTGCCTCTACCGGATTTTGGATTAGGCTTTATGCACCTTGGTTGCCGTGTCTCTTGTTTTTATTTCGGGCGAGTGCAGTTTCTATCTCCAACTGTACTGGTTTCCATATGAAATTAGAGCTTCCTGCAGAACAATTAATTTTCCTGACATTTCAGTTCAGTTAGTAGTTTCAACCTAGGGAACAGTGATGAGCACTGATCCTGACCCATGACCTCTATGGACTAGTTGTTTAAACGTGTTCTGTCCAGTATTTGGGTATTAATTCCTCTCCATTATTTTTCAGGCTCAGCTGTCTGAGATCAAAATTTCATTCACAGAGTGCCCTCTGATAGCTTTATAAGGAAGATTTGCTAACCATGGACAATAGTGTAATATCAGAACTTTGAAACAGGAAACTGTTCTTATTTGCTCTGTCAAAACTTCTAAAGGAACTCATTCACATGTTGAGTTAAACCCATTTCTCCTTTTGTTGTATGTGTGCAGCACTGTGCAGTTCCTGGCTTTCTTATCTGCTTTACTGTACTTCCATCTTAGTTTGTATTTAGAGACACACATTCAGCGTATGCACACAGGATTTAAAGGTCAGATGCAGCTTATGGGGATTTTCTGTTTGTGTGTGTGCATCCTTTTTACAGAAGAGAATAACATACGATGTTACTGTAGAGCCTTACCAAAATTTGACAGTGGGACTTTTAGACTGTTTTACAAAATGAGTTTAAGAACAGTTTCAGCTAAGAGGCCTCTCAAGCACTGGTTTATGCATGCAAAAGAAAAAAGGTTATGGATGAAATTACAAACATTCAGAGTGAATGCTCAACGTGATTGAACGTATGGGACCTTGCTAACCAAGTAATAGGAAAATGACCTTCAAATTTTATGTTGGAGATCAGTGAGCTTTGAGAACTGCTGTTCAGCTGGAAGGGTTGGAAAAAAATGACTAATGTATACAGAAAACAGGAAAGATGGATGCAGAAATTTAGATTTCATTTGCACAACAGGATGACTCGGGGGGATTCACACAAGACTTAATATGTCTTGTGCCCCTCCTTCTGAGAGGCAAGGCTCACATGCTTCAGAGAAACGCGTGAGGACGGGGCTGTGAAGATGACAAGTGGTAAAGATCACATAAATAGCTACAGAAGAGAGGTATATTTCATTTAGGCTCTGTGCCTTGCAAAACATTTGGGACAGAGAGATTTTGAGTGGAACTGTTTACTTTCTTTTTAAGGACACTTATGTAGGAAAGTCACATTTATAAATGATGCATACCACTTATAAATGTGTACGTTGGACAATACATTGATCAAGTTTGAGAAATATGAAAAATAATAACTTTGCTTTGCCTGTGGCCAGATTGTTTTGCAGTCCAAAAGTAATGTGCCGTGAATATAATGAAGTGCACAGTTCCTTCCCGCTCCTGCTCCCTTTTTGTGCTAGAAGAGGGAAGCAAAGGAGCAAGTCATCAACTGTGATCTTCTGCAGGACATAGCATTCACTTCTCTTCTGAACACTATACCTCATTACCAGCACGTGTTGCAAATGGCTCAAAGCAGTGGCTGTTTGCTTTTCCTTTTTGTCTGTTGAAGTTGGATCAGGTTGGTCAGCAGTTGATTCTGTATCAGAATCAGGTCAAATTCTCCTTCTGATTTGGATCTGAGAACCACGACACATTAGTAGAAGTCTGTGCAAGGATATGTGATTATGTCCCTCTATTCTGTTGTGTTCCTCCATAAGAAGAGTCACAAATCTTAATCTCTTATTGCTTATATTTCATAGTGAAAAGCAGTTTGCGAATTTGTGTCATTACCGTGTGGACAAGGCAAAAGATTATTTTGCAAGTCTAATCCACGTACCTGTTCCTGCTGTAGGCCTAGCTCCAGCAAACAAATACTTAAGTATGTGCTAAAATGCAAGCCACTGGGGGTGACCCTACAGATTTCAAGTCTTTTGAGGGAGATGATCCATTTCTGTTGAAATGATTAACCGTTGGCAGGACCAGCGCTGCAACTTTCACATGTATTGGCTGGTTTCCATATTATCTTTTGCTGATTGTATTTGAGTTGGTAGAGCCTCTCCATCAGATTGTGATGTGGCAATCTTTGTGCAGCTTGCATATTACTATGTGAACTCTTTATCCTGTCACAGAGAAGAAAATGGTGCTTTAAAAGATTTAATCAGTAAAATGTCTGTAAAATTCTTTGTCTTTTGTGTAGATTTCGAAAGGGTTTTTGTTTAAGTTGGTGTATCACTACTTCTGTTGCTTAAGAACTGCATTTTGCAGTGAGGCATCTTTCATTGCCCTTTGAACCTCCATCTGAGGAATTTGCATCTCCTTAAGTACTGATAAGAGGAACCATTAGCAGTGTGTACTTGAACAGCTTTTTTTGGAGTAAAGTAGATTGAGATTTCTGGGAGGTTGCAAATGCCAAGAGCTTGATTTACAGAAATAAAGAACGACAGCTCACCTTCTGGAAATAAAATGAAAAAATGTTTATAATTTGTAAACCGTTGGGTAAACTTGTACGCTAAATGTGAATCAGCTGGAAGGCCTATAGGGCAAATTAAGCACAGATGGAAAACATGGCATAGGCTTGTAGCATAGCATCTGTAGAGCATAACAGTTGACTGAGATAACCCTAGCAGCACCACTTCACTCTGCATTTGTTCTCGTGATTTAGGACCTCCTCAGACCAGCAGTGGAAATGAGCAGCACTCCTCAGCCTCTATCTTTGAACATGTGGATAGGATGTCGCGTTCCTCAGACGCCAGCAGACAGGTCCCGAGCAAGATCCAGCTGATTGCTATGCAGCCGATGGCAGCGCCTCCGGTTCAGAACTCCCTGCTTTCTGATCGAGTAGCGGAGACCAACAAGATTAATAAAGAGGTATTTTTTAACGTGCTTTGAGGGTTTGTGGAGGACTCTGTGCCCAGCCAGGAGGGAAGTGAAAAGCATCCGGTTTCTTGTTATCAGGAGTTCCTTGTTAGTTCCTGAGGAGTTCAATTTTGACAAGTTACAGGAATAATCCTGTTTCCGTCCAGAGAGATAATCTGACCTGGTTTTAAGAGTTACCTAAACCAAAAAGTGAACACGGAGAGAGGAGCAGATTTGATGGTCAGGATACCTTGTGTTACCATCCCTTTGCTAGTCAGCAGGACATGGCTTACGAGAGTTGTGTTAATTAAAGTGTGAGAATTGGAATGTCTGGCCCACCTTGGTTTTCATTCTACACAATTCTTTTGATTTTTCAGCAACTCAGGACGTGGGTTATACAAACAAGTTATCTCAAGACATTCTGGGGTGTGAATTTGCAGCACATTCATTTCTTCCAACTTCTGATGTGTTTATCTGACCATAAACATACAGAAAGTTGCTGTTTTCTCTGAGGCCTAGGTTGCTGTAAGCAAAATATGAGCGCGCCTGGTGCATTAGGAGAGAAGGTAATGCGCTGTAAAACCACATCATACGCTGCCTGATAGTGCCATGTACCTGCATCCTGGTTTTGTACTGGGTGTAAGGTGGCATCTTTTCATAATTCAGAGTGGAAGATTGCCGAAACCTTTAACTTAACTGTGTTAAGATGCTGTGTTTCCGAGTAGCTTACGGAAGAGAGGTAAATAAAATACTTATATCTACTATACATAGGCAAGAGGGGGCACAAAACAGAAATCTGATTATATGGGCAGAAGACATATAATCCTAGCTATAAATGTAAAGAGTAAGTCGGGTTTGTGTCCCTTTTATGCTTTGGGGGGATTTTCATGAGAGAATGCGCAAAAATCATTTTTTATTTGTTTTTTAATTTGCTGCAGCAGATGCATTCTAGAACTAGGCCAGCACAGGCAGAGCAGTTGTTGCTACCTGATCAGGTGCCCAAGTGTTTTCCATTGATAAGAATGATTTCAGTGAGTGTTGGGCCGGGGCTTAAAAGCGTGGCGTTACGCTAGCTTTCCCCAGATGATGAGATGCACTCCAGGGGAATTTGGAAAAAAAAGGTGGGAGAGGGGCACGAAAACTCAAGTCTGCAAAAGATGCAGAGCTGATAATGCCATGTTCAGCTAGGGACCTGGGCCCTTGTAGTGCTGCTACATTTCTGCATAGCCCATGGCAGCCCCCACGCTCAGCAGAGGCACACCGAGTTATGAGCTCAATTAGCATTTTAAGTTCTTGCTTCTTACCTGATGAAGGTCATTAAAGGGAATGGGTGACAGACCTCAACTCTATTGATCAAATATATCTGTTTGACAAGCAAAGGTAGATATAGCCTGTACTGATTAGTCTTTATTTTTCCAGAGCAGTGTCACTTGTGGCAGACAGCGGGAGGTTTTTGTGTTCCTCCTGCCTTTTGTTAACAAACCGCCACCTCTCTCTAATTGCACCTGCTGTGCTAGCAATTGTATCGCGTATAATAGTACATCTACCTGGGGAGACAACTGGGATACTGTAAAATATCCAAGAAAGAAAGTGTGTTTACAAATTGTCTGGCTTATTGTAATCCTTCAGAGATTTGGGGAAGGGAGAGGGAGAAGGGAGGTGGGGACAGGCAGGGAGGTAGGGAGGAGAGTTTTACAGAAGAGCAACAGAAAGTTCTGTTTGCAAAAACTACAAATGAAAAATGCAGTTGATTTTTTTTTTTCCTCCCCCCCTTCCTTCTTTAAGATCCAAACAGCCCTGAGGCATAAATCTGAGATTGAGCATCACCGCAATAAGATTCGTCTTCGCGCCAAGCGCAAAGGGCACTATGAATTTCCAGTGGTGGATGATGTGGTGGTGGTTGACTCCAAAGAACAGCACAGAATATATCGCAAGGCACAGATGCAGATTGACAAGATCTTGGACCCTGGAGGCAGTGTGCCTACTGTCTTCATAGAGCCCAGGAAGAGGTAGGGATTTCAAAGATAGGGAATCGATTTTCTTTTAGAGTCAGCATCCAAAGTACATTAAACCTGTACTTCTGAACGTCCAGAGCTTAAAATAATTTTGATCACTCTTTGATTTTGAGTTATTTAGATGAAAAGGTTTGGCTGGTTCTAAACTTTTTTTTTTTTTTTTTCAGTATATGCCATTATGTTTTGTTTTCAAATTATCCTTTTACAAGTTCTCAGCGGTGAATTCTCGATAAACAAACGTAAATGTATGAAAACTGTCTTACAGTAATTTAGTAATTTCTCTGCCATTTGCTTGAATAATTCTTGTGTGGTGTTGCAGGATCAAAATTGCAATATAAGCACTAAAAACAGATGCACGGAAAATACAGACTTCAAGAAATAATCTTTTTGTAAAAGGGGGAAAAGATGCAAGATAAGGAAACCCTTGAACAACTTAAAAAGCAAGAAGATTCTGAATTTTAAAGGCAAATTCACAAATCAATGAGAGAACCATTTCTGTATTGCCCTGGGTAATGAGGCACATTTGTCAGCCTCGCTACCTGCCTTCCTGGCCTTGTATTTTCAGAGAAAGCCTTCCCTGGGCTCTGTTTAGGGTTTATGAATACCGGCCCTTTGCTCCCAGAGCACTGGTACCCTGTGACTGCTTCTGCACCGATAGAAATCAGCTTTTCTCCAGCTACGTGGGTTCCTCGGCTGGTTTGCCTGTTCGGGTTAAACCCAACCCACCAAGAGCAAAGCCTTGTTGGCAGCGTGGTCTGTTCTGCTCCCACAAACATGTCAGGCACTGGCCTGGAAGGTCTGGAGAGGCACCGGTGCGGGGCTGGAGCCCAGACAAGGTTGAAAGATTGACGAAGAAGGGAGGTGACACTAGAGAGAGTTTGAGGGAAGAATGGGACAGTTTGGAGAGCTGCCAGTGAGAATGTTATTAGGAGAAGCTTGAGGAGAGAGATTCAAGGCTCACTAAAAGGACTGACCTGAACTGCTGGGAAAGGGAAGCGAAACAGGGCTGAGGCAAGGGTGACTTGGAGGGAATGGGCAGAGGAGTTCAACCTTCAGTAGGGTGAGAACAAAAATCGCAAAAAGAAATGTGATTACCTTTGTCTTGTTTGTTTTTTCTCTCTCTCCACTTTTTGTTTTCTTCCTGTTAAGTTCTCGTGCAAAACGTTCTCCCAAGCAGCGCCGGCGACATCAGATAAATGGGAGTCCGATTGATGCAGAAAAGGACAGGTTAATCACAACTGACAGTGATGGGACATACAAAAGGCCTCCAGGAGTCAATAATTCTGCATATATTGTATGTATGTCTCTTGAATGACAGGAGTGTTCTGATAATTGAAATGACAATTGTGACACTGGGAGGTTTTTGGCCTTCTGACTAGGGTCTGTACGTCTAGTTTCAGTCACATGTAGTTAGCATGTAAAGCACAGTGAAACGGGGATTTCACTGGCAGTCTGTCGGTATTAAGCAGTAAAATTCTGCCAAGTATTCCTTCATACTAAAGAGTCCGAGAACTAAAACCTTGCTTTTGTTAATGCCACTGCATCATGCACATGAAAGTGTGCTTGGCATGTTCAGCAATGTCTTGAACATAGTTTCGCTCTAGTCCAATTTGCTAGATGCTATATATTCATATGTTACAGAAAATTTCATCCTCTGCTCTCATAGAGCGGAAGACTCTGTTCATTTCATGAGAAATTTTCTCATCTTTAAAATGTGGGAATTAATTATTAATGGAAGAGAAACATGTCTTTGTACAACAGTAACTTGAAACAATTCTAGTACAGTGTCTTTAAGATTAATTTTGTTTCCTGTCTAAAAAAGGCAAAGACACTGCAGAAAGCTGTTCAATCGTATCCATGTCACAAACTGTATTTAGGAATCTTTAACCACGTCTAAGCAGACTTTACTAAGCCTAATGTTGATATTGGAACCTCCTGCACAGTTTTCATCTTGAAAGATGGTTTAATAGTTTTAAGAATTAGCGGCACATGGAGTCAGGTGACCACAATGTCACTTTCTGTGGTTTCCCTCTGCCTTCAAACAAGAGTGTGATGATTTTAACGTCATGCTGCAGCAGAATGAATTGTCGTCTGAAGCCGTTTAATTAAGACATGTCACACAGCAAGCTCGGCCCCTTTGGCAGCTGTAGTGAGACAGTACTCAGAATGCTAAGTTCCTGATGAAGTAGAGGCTTTTGCATCTTGACGGCTGATTTTGCAGTCTGCATGCAGCGGTAAGAATGAGCTTTGAGAAGTCTGCGGCTGCAAAGCTCGTTTAATTTCCTGTTACTGATGAACAATAAGCCCATGTGGTAAGATCCCAGGCAGTAATTGCGATGCACGCCTCGGGTATTGCTGCTGTGAAACACTTAGATGAATCCCGTTCAGGTGATGCACCCCAGTTCATGTTCCGTGCAGGTAGCCATTTCATTGCTTAACAGCTCCCTTTGTGTGTTTTTCTAGGAAGTAATAATTGTTTAATATTACTGCTGATGTGGTCAGTTGTAAGCTAAAGACTGAATTGGAACTGCAGAAGCTGCAGAGAAGTCAACGATGTAGACAGAGCTGATTGCCTTTTTCTGGGTGGAGTACACGCTGTCTGCATGATTTCATTATGTGCTTGCAAACCATGAGATTTCTGTTATAGCTGAGTAATTCTGGCACAAAGCTCCGCTGCCTTATCTGAGGTCTGAGTCTTTCCGATCACGCTGAGTGAAGTGTTTGAGCAGTTGGTGTTACGTATGAGCACACATATGTGTATGCAGAAGTAGGGAGGGTGAGGGGCATGTTTTGTCCAGCACCGGCACTTGTGCCATTGATCTCGTTGTGGTTCTGGCAGAGAAAACGTTGCTCAGACGTAAGGCCCACAGGGGCTTGGGAGCTGGCTGGTTAGGTCTTCTCTGTGGCTGCCCTTCACCTTCTTTCCATTTCCTCCAGTCTGATCCAGACTTGCCTCCTGAACCTCAGACGTCATCTTCAGCTGATCTGGGGAAGTTCCCTGGCTTGCCTTCCCACCCCGTCTCCCAGTACGTCCCCCCGCAGCCGTCCATTGAAGAGGCGCGGCAGACCATGCACTCGCTGCTGGATGATGCCTTTGCGCTGGTGGCTCCCAGCAGCCAGGCAGCCAATTCCACGGCCGTCACACCCCCCGGGGTCTCTGCAGGACAGCCGGTAAACACCTCTGCTTGAGCAGGGAGGGGGGAGCCACAGGCACCCAGTGGGGGTCACCTTACGGTGCAGCTCAGGCGGCAAACAGCCCACTCAGTGGGAGTGATGCAGTTTAAAAGACTTCTCTGGGCAGGTAGGTAGCACCAGCTGAGCTGTGGTCACTGTTACTGTGCCCTTGCTGTCAGGACTTACCACAAATGTGGAACAGTTTCTGGAACCAGGAGAATTCAGAAATGACCGTCGTGATGGTGAACTTGCTTTTTGAGCCGTTTGGATTCTTTTCCCTTTTCCCATCCCAACCACAAGAGAAGATAGGAGTTCTCCTTTAGGATAACTTTTCTGTTCTCAGTTATGATCTTTCACAGATCAGTCTTGTTATGTCCAAGAGTAAAACTTTATTTTTTTTAAACATATGTGCTATTTCATATTTTGACAATTAGAAGAGAATATATTTGACTTAGGTCATATTTTTCAGCATAGTATCCAAATGCTTTCAGGTGGTGAGGGATAGAGAAGCAGTATTTCCGTGTATGATTTTTTTTGCATCGTATGGAGTACTGAGACACATGGATAATCTTTTAGGTCATTTTGAGTTCCACAACAGTTCAGTACAAGTTTCATAATGCCATTGGACTGTTGAGTCAGAGCCCCGTGGTCTCTCTGCCGCAGTCTGATGCTGAGATTTCCAAACGCAAAGCTTGGTTTGCTGAAAGTTTTAGGCAGAATAGACATTGGAGCAGCCCTTACTTTCTCTCACTTGCAGAAGATTATTTCTGAAAAGTTCTTAAGTTAAGACTCTGATCAGACAGAAAAGACTGCTAGCCCACTGTAGCAGTGATTTCCAGAACTTGTGCTTCTGGGTTTGTAAAACTAAGCTCTTATGTCTGCAATCAAGTCACACGTACAGGCCTCGTGATCTCTGCCATTCATCACTTAAAAGGCTGACAGTGGAATTCCCAGGGTATGCATTTTGATTTTAATTTGGGTTTTTTTCATTCTTCTGACAGAGATACGTGGAATTTGGAATGACTCCACCAACTGCACCAGGTCTCCTACCAAGGTAGCTTTTCACGGGTAGAATTGTCATTTATTATTTTCCTTGCAATTCCTCCAGAGTTCTTACTGGCACTGGTATATTATTATGCAAAGTACTGTATAAATGAGAAGTAACAGGAGTCCAGATCCAGCCTGTGTAATTTATTTATGTAGCATGAATGACATATGCATGCTGTATGGAATCCAAGCCTTCATTTAAAAGAAATGTGTTTCTAGCCCCTTGGCAATAGAGATATCCTTCCAAGTATCGAGTAAATCACTGAGTTTCAGCTTTTAGAGGGCCTGAAACAGTTGCTCAGATGCATGTAATTCTCCCAATACTCTCACTTTCACCTTGTTTCTGCAGCCTCAGGGCAACACTCACTCGCAAAAGCTTTCAGATGACTAACAGATTCATTCTAATTTTAACCCAGTTGAGAACAAATTATAGAGCGCGATGACCCTCACAGAGGAAGCCTGCCTCGCAGGCCTGTTACTGTGAAATCCGGGGGGAAGAACAAATTTTCCATCTTCTCCTGGCCTGGCTGTGAGAGAATCGTGTAGAGAGAAGGAAACAGTTGTCCAGGTGACTTAACTTCACGTTCGGTGTCTGTGTTTTAACTGCACGTGAAGCTGGACCCAGGTCGTGGTTCCTGCCGTGGTCAGGCTTGTCTCGCCCTTCCCGAGCCGCTGCAGCCCCTGTGGTGAGAAGGCGGCCCTTGTGCTGCTCTCGGCTCTCTCTTACAGCTCGCCGTGAGATGAAACCCCACTGGCACCCATGCCATTTACTGCATTTCTCCTGTAGTCTTTACTGCCTCGGAAACTCGGTGGTAAAATGGGTATGAAGAACTTCCCTTCATCCATTGTTCTGGTTTTGAAAGGAGCAGCTCGAAAAGGAGTCTTAAAGCACATTTTCTTACTTAGGTCTTGGCTGGTGGTGTCAGTTTTAGCGCGAGTGGAGCATACGTGAAATGGCACACAGCCTATCATGCGGTGTATTTTTCATAATTTAGGTTGCTTTGAGGCTGCCAACACAAGGAGGCATGACCAGTTATTTGTTATTGAGGATTTTCAATTTGTTGGCCTGTTACGCATTCGGGGAAAATGTGATAAATTAATCATGAAAGTGTAGTAACCCACGTTAATACACCTGAGCAAGATAGTGTCTTTGCAACATATTTTTTGTTCAAAAGTTCGTAAGCCTTTGGCATAGGCACTCTGGATTTCTGTAAATTACAAATTAATGGCATCATTATTGATAATTAAATTCTGGCTCTGCCAGTGCTGGTAAATTAGGTTAACAATCTGCAAGATTATTGACCTTAACAGGAAGAATTCCTTTACATTTTCATTAAAATAGAAGGTATCCTAAAGCTTGGTCAACAGGAAATGAGGAACGAGTTGTCACGTTTGTGGAGTGGGGGTTATGCTCAAATTCAGAAGATAATCATAGAATCATATCTTAGCAACATAGAGTGACTTGGGTTGGAAGGGACCTTCAAGATCACCCAGTCCCACCCCCTGCCCCGGGCAGGGCCCCCTTCCCCCAGCCCAGGGGGCTCCCAGCCCCGTCCAACCTGGCCTTGAACCCTTCCAGGGAGGGGGCACCCACAGCTGCTCTGGGCACCCTGGGCCAGCGCCTCACCCCCCAAACAGGGAAGAATTTCTGCCTTAAATCTCGTCTAAATCTCCCCTCTTACAATTTAAAACCATCACCCCTCGCCCTACCCCCACACCCCCTGATCCAGAGTCGTCCCCCCCCCCCTCCTGTCCCCCCTTTAAGCCCTGGGAGGCCACTCTCAGGGTCCCCCCGGACCCTTCTCTTCTCCAGGCTGAACCCCCCAACTCTCTCAGCCCGGCCCCCCAGGGGAGCTGCTCCAGCCCCCCCAGCATCTCCGTGGCCTCCTCTGGCCCCGCTCGAGCAGCTCCGGGTCCTTCTGCTGTTGGGGGCCCCCGAGCTGGCCCCAGCACTGCAGGGGGGGCTCCCCAGAGAGGAGTGGAGGGGAGGTTTCGCCTCCCTTGACCTCCTGGCCACACTTCTTTAAACAAGCTGATGAAAACGGTGCACTAATCAGAGGAAGAAAACTTAACCTGAGGTCAGTATGATTAGGTGGCATGTATCAATGTCATAGCCCGTTAGCTTAAGGATCCAATGTATGGAATAATAGTTGGGTGACTGTACTGTTCCTTTCTCTGTACAAATGCAGTCAGCATCTTTAATGGGGTGGAACCAACCTGGGTAAAAAAAAAATTAAAAGACCTAGGTCACATAACAGCTAGGCAAACATAAAGGCACAATGAACAGCTTTTACCAGAAAATTAATATTGCATCATACAACTGAGATAGAGATACTTAGCCATAGTGGATTAGTGGTATAAAATTGATTTGGGGGGCAGTATCTCCCCACGTAATTAAATAACTGGAGATTAATACATTTTTTGGATTTCAAGAAAAATTGAAGGCTAGGTTTCAGCCTAAAAATAGGAAGGAGCACTAGAAAGCCTGTATGATATAGATTGAGAGCTCTATCTTGTTTTTATACTCTTCTGTTGATCTCTGACTTTTAAAGAGTAGCTAAATCTATCTATTCTAAAGAAGATTGAGAAGAGAGGGTGATGGGTTGTAAAATGTGCACCTTTCAAGTACAAACACATCAGCAATAAATGATACACCTCCTGTCCTCTGATAAATGGACACAAAAATAATACATTTGCAGTAATATTGAGAAAATATTTTCCTTAGACAACATCAAAAATTTGTAGTAATTTATCAGCTACAAGATTCCAGCTCAGCACTGCAGGCATAGAGGGTCAGCTGGTCACATCCTTTACTGCTACAAGTGATTAACGTAACAAAAGTGATATTGTTAAACATTACTTACACATTCAATTGTTGATTTTAACTAGATTGTAAGTCTGGTTGGAAATGGTTTCCTCTGGATCTGCTGAGTTTACAGGTGGGATAGTATGCAAGGGAGCTGGGGGAATTATGACACTTCCACAATGGGATTGTTGAAGCTTGAAACCCTTATACCTCCTCCATTTAATGCTGTATGCCAGGTAGCTAGTACCTTAATTTACAGTTACTTGTTTGTGCTTTATTGGCTCTTATTTGGCTTTATTGGGCTATTTATTATGTCAGCTTCCTTTGCTATCTGTTTGTAATGCAGAGGTGGTTAGTTTTCCAAATACAACACAAATCAAGAATAGTTTGAATTAGATGCAGTCACAGGATTTTTCCTTTAAAGCAGAAGGGTGTAAAACTGAGGTCTTGAGGAATGGGATACGTTGCAGTCCATATCCTGGAAGGGCTTAGATGCGGTTGTTGTAAAAGGCATCTAAAATGCACCCCTCATCCTCACTTTCTGTAATTTCACGTGCCTGATTTAGGATGTTGGTGTCACTTTGCTTCCTTTATACTCACCAGTGAAAGGCTCCTGCAGAAAATGATTTAGTGAACCTAACCTTTTGCTTTGAATGCCTCGTGAGGAGTGCATCTCTCTTCCTTGATCGTACCTGGAGTCTGAGAGACTAGTCTAGTAACCTAAGCACCTGAAGTTTGGGCATCCACACCTCCACCATATTGACAGGAACCAATAATCCTTGAAAATTCAGCTGCCATCAGTCTTCTAAAATATAATCTCTCCATGCCAGGGTTAAGATAGATTAATAGGAAACATAGGAAAAGCAGCATTTCCATCTCCTTCTCTATTTCTGTTCTGTGAATGGGTTATAGGGTTTCTTTTACAAGTCCCATTACCTTGGCACAATTGATGAAGTTAGTTAGATTGATGACAGTTTCTGTTGTTAACTTTTCAGTGAATATATAACAACAATGACTACCAGTGCCAGCCTGAATTATAGGAAACATTAATTTTAGTATATGTTGCATCCCGTCATATGTGGTAGTGACAGCTTTGAGTAGTTTGATGAATCTTAAAGAGCAGAGTCTTGAAAATTTGATGAAAAAGGATCAAAACACTTGCTGAAATAATAATTGTTCATGAAATACACATGTAATGCAGTTCATATGGTTTGATTTAGACCAAAACCGTGTGCCCAGAAACTCTCGGGTAAGAGTCAGATTTGTTGCTGAGGTAAGCAGATACATCACTACTGAAGTTTTATTTCTTTATTTTTATTTTTATATTGAAGATGCTTTTTTTCCCCTGGGGGAAAGCAAGGTCTGCGAACTCTTTCCTTTGCATTGAGGAGACTGCAACATGTGAAAAAGACCTGTGTGAAATTTTGTTGGAGTTTGTAACTCCTGTTCCTGTGCAATGCAGATCATGAAGGAGGAATATATTCCTCAGATGTAATTATTTTCTTTAACATTTAAGGTTAAAATGTACATTAAAAGGCATCATAAAGAGGAGTTGTATGAGGTACGCCTGCGTTACTGTTTCTAATTGGGGAATTCACTTACCGTAATCTTTTCCACAGGCAGAACTTTGGGCCAGGTTTTATTCAACCTGCAGAGTTAATGCACCCAGACCAGCAGCCACCTGAGGTTCAGTATTCCTCCAGAGGGATGTACTCAGAGGAAATGCCATCGGTGGCACGGCCACGACCAGTTGGAAGCACTGCAGGTACACTTCACTTAAGTGGAATATGCACTAAAATAACTGATCCTTTTCCATATCTGCTCTTACATTGAGGTCACCGTTAAGGCACCATTCTCCTTCAGCTGCTACGCTTGAAATGTGGTCCTTGTCTTCACTGGCAAAAAAAAAAGGTGATCACAAAGTGAGGTTAACTTTACATCCATAGGACCCTGCAGAAAAGGGCAGTGCTTTGCTGCCTTTTTAGTATCTTGCAAGTATTGGTTATCACACAGCGTGTTTTCAGAAAAAAAAAAAAAAAAAAAAAAACTAAACAAACCAAAAACTTTAATTAAGAATGGAAAATTACTAATTGTTTCAGTGTACAGTGTATGCTAACTTTCCACTGCTGACTGTTTCGTTTGTGCTAAATGAGCTAACTGATATATCCCAAATCAGCCTGCTAAATAGCAAATTTTTTACTTTTCTGCATCTTTATTTCTCATTTCTCTTCTTATAAATGTGTGCATAAAAGCCGGATATTTTAGCTTCTGATGATATTCTCTATTGCTGCTGTCCCGTATGAAATCACCTTCCTTGATTTGGTTGTGCGATAATTTCCATAGCACTCATCAGTGCTATCGTGAATAAGGTTCAAACATCACATGCAATTAAGCAGCAGACACTGATTCTAAGAATAAAATATTCTATTCTTATGCAAATGCCACAGTTAATTTTCTCCCAGATAAATGTTTTCTTCCTGGGGAGTTGAAAAAAAGACTGGAAATATGATCATATACTCATGTCAGAGTCCTAGTTTTGGTAGCTGCTCTCCTCTCCCCATAAATGTTAAATGAATGAGGATGACAGGGATGTAGTGACTGTTACAGATTAATGATGATTATTTTATTGTTTGATTCACACTATTCTCTAAATGTTCATGTATATTCTGCTTTAAAGTTTGGAGGCAATTCAAACAATTAGTTCCTGTCCTTCAGCGTAATTATGTGCAAATATCAGACTTCTCAAATATTGGATTTTTTTGAGAGGAGAACATGAAACTGACCTAACTGTCCATCACGTAAATCACACTTGTTTTTGTCTTTCCCTCCCTTTTTGTACATACACACACACACAGAGTTTTCTCTCGTGTATCTGTGGGTTTATTAAATGTGTTTCCTTTCTAATGAATAATATAATAATAAAATAAATCGTGTTTCCCTGTGGGAGGAAATTCAGGAAAAAGGGAAGCTGGCATGTTGTTACATGTCTCTTGCAATTAATGATGGTGGCTATCCTTGCATATGTTTGAAAGCAGCGGGAGGAGAGGGAAGGGAAAGGAGAAAGGAGGAGGTTAGCTTTCCGGCTGAAAGGAGATACAGCGTGTTCTGACCTTCTCGTTAGTCAACAACAGCATCGTTTAATATTTAACCACAAAGCAAAGGTGAAAGAACCGTACTCATGTAGTCATGTATTTTATTCTTCTGAGAGATAGAACAGAAAGCAGTCTGGAGAGTTAGGGTCTTGCCAGTGTGATGCAAATAAGGTGGACCACAGGGGCAAGTGTCTTCTCTTTGCTGCTAAATAATTTACATGAAAGCATTGCCAGGGCTTTCAGTAAATGCTGATTGGAAAGGGCTGGCATGTTTTTGGAATGAAGTGTAGTCCATGTCCGAGATGCATGTATCTCAACCTCTTCTTTCAGTGCAGTGGCAATGAAAAGCATCACACTCAAATGAACTGCACAAAATGCACGTAACTTTTTCTTCTTTATTCTACACTGACAGCCTTCTTTCTGCTGATTTTTTTTTTTTTTTATTATTAATTGCACAGAAACAGAGCTTCACTTTCTTCTTGTCTCCTGCTTCCAACAAAATTTTATGTTGTCATTTGTCTGCCCTACAAACTTGACTATGTATAAAGATGAAAAAACAATATTTGCTTTTAAGGTTCTCAGATACAGCACCTCACTCAGGTGGGAATTGCTAGCAGGATCGGAGGTCAACAAGTGGAGATCCCCTCAGGCAGAGCAGGGCATGGCCAGCCGGGGGGGCCAGGGTGGCCCCAGTACCGTGGAGAGGATGAATATGCTAGGCGAGATGCAGTGAGTACTGTGTTACACATTTGCATAGTTTCTGAAGTAGTGATATGTTCGGGTATTTTTTTTCCTGCATTACTGTTTGGAACTTTTCCCCCCCTGGAATACTTTCAGTTGCTTCTCTGACATTCTTTGCTTTGCTCTTCAAACCCTCGTTAGCTCTTCTAACTTTTGCTTGCTGTTCTTTCACCTTTGCTTCTCTCTCTAACTGCTTTATTTCACTCTACCCTAACCCTTTTTTTTTTTTTTTTCTCACTTGAGGCCTTCACCCATTAATTGCAGTTCACCCAGTTCTGCTTCTGAGCTCCAGCAGAGGTGGATACTGCTTTCCATTTTCTTCTTTGAAATATGCCTCTGTATTTTGAGATCATTGTAAGTAGAAAGCATTGAATTCAATTGTCCCAGACTACTGTCCTACTTTGTATTGGTATAGTTCTTTTGTCTTCTGTATCGGTGCACAACAGCAGGAGTCAGGGCAACAGAATGAGGTACATACTTGCACATAACAGTAGAGCTGTTCCTAAACAAGTTATTTTCCTCCCCTCAGTCAGCAGGATATGCTAAATTAAAATGTATTCATTTACCAGTGTTGCCTAGGCAGCCATCGTGATTTCATGTTCTTGGCAGTGGTGCTTCCAGAGGTTGATGTTTCTGATTCAGCCAGATGTGTGAGGCTGAGGATAGTGTATGGCCTTTCCAGGAAAGGTACGGTTGCCTGCTACCAGTCCACGTTTGATGTACTTGCATCCTGAAACAGACGGGTGTGGCAAGTTTACTGTAGTACTCTTGAGAACGACAGCTTTATACCCCTTCTTTTGCTCCTTTGCTTAAACTGTCATTTTTCTGGTTTCTTCCTTGAGGGAGAGAGGAATGATCTCCTTCTTTTGCATACTTAAGGCAGTGTGTGTTCACACTACTGAAGCTGCTTTGCAGTATTGCATGATCTCAGAATGGCTTTGCAGGAAGGAAATGCAACGGGATGGGCCTTTTCTTTAGATTTTGGTGAAGCTGAGCTGCCACCCACTCCAAATGAACTTGAGAGGAGCAGCCTAAAGCTTCTGACAGCTGGACATACTAGAGACAAACCCTACTGAAACTAATCAAAAATTTCAACTGTCAAAGCTGAAAGATGTATTTGCCTAATTTAACTTGTTACCTGTGCTTGGGACAGTGGTATTTGAGTGCAACGTCATCATAATTTCAGTTTGCATCTGGAAGAGCACTTACATGAGACATCTTAGTGCTTCTTCTGTTCCATTTTCAGAGGCATCTCTAGGTTACCATTCATTGCCCCTTATCATTTGTTTTTCTATTCTGAAAATTACTTTTCTTTTCTAAATCTGTGGGCCTTTCCCTTCTGTCCCCCAAGTGCATGTTTAGCCATTACTTTCTTGATATTTTATTACTTGAATTGCTAACAAATTACTGAAAATTCAGTTACAGACCCGTTGTCCGAGATGCTATGCAAAGAGTTGGTTTTGACATCAGTTACCTGCACAACTTTCAAAGATTCATGGCCCAGTACAGTATGATTTGGTTGCAGTTTGCACCTTCAGTCACCATTTCGGATGGGTACATGTCACCTCAGTCCAGGCTGACTTTCTTTTAATTAATCAGAGTTTAAGCACTTCCTAGGCTTTGACAGAACTTTCTGCTCACTGGTTGCTGCAGTTCATGTTACTGCAGTGTGATTTATTTTTTTTTCAGTTTGGTTTTATAGTTTGGTTTTGTTTTGTTTGTTAAAAAAAGGCAAGAGGTGGAGATCATGGACTAAAATTATCTGAATATGGTGTCAGTTGTAGGAGAGCTCACCTAGTTGCTTGCACTTTCCTTTTCAGAATTCTTTTTTTTTTTTTTTTTCCCAAAGGATTATTCCAATTGAAAAAAAAAAAAAAAAAAGGAAGCATTATTAGATGAGCCCTAGTTGGTAGTTTTCTGTAGTTAAATAATTACCTTCCGGGTTTGGATTCCTTCACTAGGACAGAGCTCTAAATTTTTCTTTCCTCCTTTTGGAGAGGAGGTTTTACTTAATGACAGTCACGTTCCTTTAAGGTGCAGTATTTAACTGATTCTTTACAAACAGCCTTGCTGCTACCTCATTCTGAGCAAGTTTCTAACATGAAACTCTGCGTTTAGGAAGATAATATCTAGAATGTTGTTCTTACCTGCAAACTCGGGAGACATCTGCATTTGTGTTTCTTCAAGGGCCCTTTTCCTCGCAGTATCCTCTCCTACTACTCCTGCAGTCAACACCTGATTTTCTGCTGGAATACGACCTCCCACTTGTATCTCCTGACCCCAAGCCAGCAAGTAGGTGACCATCAGTTCGCCATCTAGAAGGCCTGGGCAAGCAGGATAATCACAGCTTTTCCTTAACGGACACGAAATACAGTACTGAGCAAGGGGTCGTTTGAGCAACAGAACAGCTGAAGCCGGGTTTCTTGCAGATGTGTGCAGTGTCTTGTGCATCTCTGCCTCCCTGCCACCACCTGGCATCACCTCCCATCCTTCTCCAATCCCCTGTAGCTCCTCACTGTTCTCCCAAGTCTTCTCCAGGCTTCCAGTGTTTCCCCCAAGCCACCGTTACCCTTTTACTTTATATTTATACTCTGGCTGCCCACCGTAGTGTCTGTAAACCATCTCACCATACTTCAAGTTGTCTCTCGTGTCCCCGAGCCATCCCCTGTGCGATACGTCCTGGCTGTGGCAGGTCCAGCTGAGCACAGCCTAACAGGGCCTTTCTGCTATGCAGGAGCAGATTCAGGGATAGCACAGGTGAGGTTATGGCTAATTAGCTACCTACTTTTGTGAATTTTATCATGTCTGTCTGTTCATACATATACAGCTGTGTGTGTGTATATAGTTACACATCCAAATCAGTTGAAATCGGTCATAAAGTTCAACAGCTATTAAATGGAGATTAACGAGTTCACAGTGTCATCTCATAAATCTTCATTCCTTAAGAAGGAAGATTTAATAAAGATATTTTGTCGATTATTTTATACTGCTATTAATTATACAGAAGTTTCTATATAAAAATACATCATTTATAGATACTACTATATAAAACTATATATAGTTACATACATAATATATCAATGTATACTTCTGCTGGTAGACCAAACAAACAAAAAAAACCCCTAAAAAACTAAATTCTTCTAACCTTCTACTGTCTTTATTTTGCTATTACAGTTTAGTATAGGTTAGGTTTCTAAACCAATTTGGTTTTGAAAGTTATCAGACCTGTTTAATTCTGACATTATATATGAGGTCATGGAAATACACACTTTTATTTTTCTGAGATATTTAAGAAAACTCTGATAGCCTGAATGTTCAAAAACAGCCACTGCAGTCATCTTCCCTTAAGAAACCATTCTTATGGTGCTAATCCAGTGCAGTATGAGACGGGAGCTGAATCATGTTAATGCATTTTAATGTGAAAGTAACTTGAACATAATTTAGGTTGCCGTTAAGACTCACGTGTCAAGGAATGTTTGCTTTTAATCTTTTTTTTATGTCCTCTCTTTTCTACAAACCCACAGGAGTACTTGTGAGGTTTGCAAACTCTAGACTGCATGTATGAATTCGTTTCAGGTTCCACTGCCAAAGGAGTAGCTCTGAACAATCAAGAGACCCATTCATTCCTTCTGATAATACAGTGGCCTCCCTTTTCTAAGAAGAAAGACAGGATGTTACTCGGAAAACCTTCTTTACCTATCATTCTTCTAGTAAAGCCTCTTTTCCACTTAATCTCTCTCCACCAATTAACTGCAAATGATGAGTGCTGTGCATGAGCTGCGCGAGAGAGTCAGAATCTATTGTTAGTTCTACTTGGCACAAAATGGCTTCGATTTTATTTATTTATGTTATGGGAGGTGTTAAGGAACATACTCTCGTGCCTTTTTGCGTTCCCAGCGCACCGCTGCCACGGGCACTCTAGGTCCCCCATACCCTTCCCAGGCTCTGCCGCGTAATCCCTCCCTTCGTTCCCCTCCCCCTGGCCCCCAAATCCTCTTCCAGCTGACCTTCCTCCTCTCCTTTCCTCCCTCATCAGCTTGCCCTCTCTGCCACTCCTTGTAGGCGCATCCACGGAGCAGGACGGTGCTCACCGAACTGTGATAACTGTCCCCTGAACGTGCTGCAGCTAGCTGCTCCGCAGCCCCCTCGAAGGGGCTTGCACTGCTCTGCTCCCCGTTGTGGGTCCAGCAGGGTCGGTCTGAGCAAGTCCTTTGTGCCCAGGGTTTTCTCCTCTCAGGCTCCAGCCATACGAGGCCTGAGGAAGCGCTTGCTTTGGGGGTGTCAGCTGGAATTTAGATGTTTTGCAGCGTACCTCGTTTGTGTCGGTACTGGGAGTTGGTGCAGTCACCTCGTGTACTGTAAATTCATGCTTTGTTTTAGTGTAAGCAGATTTCTTTCCAAATAGACGAGCCCATAAACTCAGGCTTTTGTTTTGTTTCTCTCTTGTTTTGTTAGAAAACGTATGTTGCTGACAAATGCAGAATTAACCCCTTTCTACCCTGAAACAGTGATTGTCCCTAAACTGGGATAGCGTTTCTCAGATATGTAAAACAGCTGTTGAGTGTAGAAAAATCTTGTCTTTCGGATTCGAATAGTTTCCTCCTGCTGCTTCTATTGACCGTGTTTTCCTGAGCACTGGTCAGTCACAGGGTCCTCACGAGTGTCCGGTCTGAACAGGCAAGCCAGGCAGAGGAGGAGAAAGTGAGATCAGTAGTGTATCTATCTATAAATAGTGTGGAGAAATGACAGCTGGGAAGAGAGTGATTTGCCTGTTGTTTTTTAGGAAGTTGGTGGAAAGGCAGGGAAAGATAAGCCAATTCTGTTGACTTCCAGTTCCGTGTTTCTTCTTCCCACCTCCTTTCATTTCAGTTTCTGAACATACCATAGGTTAGAAGGGGGATCAGACTTTTTAATGGATGCTCAAAGGGATTTTGAAAATCCTTGAGCTTGAGTCAGTCCAGCAGTTTTGTGTACACTTGTCGTTTTGTGCTCCATAAGCGGAATCACTCATGCATACAACATAAGAACAGTGGCAGCAGGTAGAAGCATCTCCATGCTGCTCTCCCTCTGTTCTTTGCCTTTTTGCTTTCTTGTCTTTTCTGGGATTACCGCGGTTGTTCAGAAAGTACAATAATGCTTTCTACCTTTTTCCAGACGCATATGCATGGACACCAAGAATATTCCTCCTCACCAGCATTCCAGATGCCGAGGACTTCAGCCAGGCAGCCTTCAGCACCCCCTGCTCAGCTTCCACACAACAGCCTTCAGGGCCAGGGCCTTTGCTACACCACCAGTTCCACTGAGGACCTCCAGCCAGGTCACTCTTCAGCCTCTCTTATCAAAGCAATTAGAGAAGAACTTCTACGACTTTCTCAGAAACAGACAACAGTGCAGAACTTCCACAGTTGATTTAGCATTCCCTTGCAAATCTGCCGGGTATCTGCTTCCTATGGAAGCAAAGACTTAGAGGAAATCAGCAACGTTCAAAAGAATGAACTTTCACAGCTCTGTCGGCAGCGCTCTGGAAAAAAAGGAAAAAGGCAGCACAATGAGGATAGTAAGGAGGGATGGGGGACAAACAGGGAAAATCATCAGTGTCATCACAAGTAATATTAATTCATCTGCTGATATTACGGTGCTCCTCTTCTCTCCCTACCCTCATTCAGCCTAACAAATAAATAAAACCTGAGGTCAAGAAGTCAACACTCCAGCAACAAAAAAAAAAAAATCACAGGAACGAACTCCAGGTATGATAGACTCCTTTTTCTAAGGAAGTAGGCGAAGGTTTGAATAAACTGAGGTGACACTTGGCAAGAGGTTACAAGTATTCTGATCTCTCCAGTGCTTATGGGGAACTGGTTTGAGTTGTTGTTCTGCAAGATTACAAACTCTGTCAGCTCAAGGGTGTTGAAGGTGGGATCGCACCCACATAGGAATCACTTCGGTTGTCAGGAACAATTGGACTACTTAGAATAAAAATCTTCATGAGCTACTTGTAACGAACTAGAACAATAATTGTTATAGCTCTGTGCTTCCAAATGGAGCTACTCTCTGCACTCTTCCTTGTTTTCCTTCTGGTGCTGAAGCTTCAAGTGTTCCTTCATCTTCAATGTTCGCAAAGTGAAACATTGGCCTTGTATAACTAAGAAGATATCTGTAGACTCATTCAGGCTGGAAAAACAAAGCAAAGCATCCAAACAGAAAGGGCTTAGTATTTATTTTGTTTAAAAATCATTGAAAACTAGGTGAAAAATACTCCGCCACAGTTGAATTTGGGGAAACGTGTGTGTATGTCTTTAAAAAATTTTTTTACATACTGTCTGCTCTTGCAAGACCAGCGATAAGGTATTGCCACTCTGTGGTTTGCTTTGTGGACAGAAACCGATCCAGCCTGACCGGTACAGGGTCACCAGCATTACGTTAGAAATTGATGTCCTAAATCATTGCTTACGTTTGGATCTGAATAATTTTAGTGAAAGTCAGTGACAGTTTAGAGCATTAACATAGGCTTAGATTTGCAGTTTTGAGACAGTTTCTATATTTATACTTGTTTCCACTGTCCCTTTGGACAAAGGGTAAGCATTATCCCCATGGTAAGAATGGTACGTGCCATGGAACTGTTTGTCGCTGTTTTTTCCAGAGTTTTAATTTAATATTAGCTACGAATTTACTAATATTTGGCCATTGCATAACTGTAACTGACATAATACACGCGGAAATTTTACTTAAGTCATGATTTGTTGGAGTGTTTTTATTTTCAGGTCAGACTGAACTAAAGCTAACAAACTGGCACAGCAGTAGAGGATAAGCTCAGTGTTTGTGAGGAGGCTTGGGAGCCTCGCCCTGGAAAAATGAAAAGCAAAACTACTTGGTGCTACAGTGTGGGTATGTCAAACACTAGCAGGTGGTAGTTGTGAAAAGGTCTAAGGAACAGCAGGCTGCCAAAGAGATCGCCGGGCACTTGATCAGGGTAGGGCTGGGTTTGCCTGGTTTACTGGGGTAGAAACGGCACTGGTAAAATACAGGTGCGGAATGCTGGTGTGGTGTGGTGGTCTTTGGCTGCCAAACCTGTTCCTGGTTCCAGTGCCCAGCTCAGTAACTGTGACAGGACTCACTCAGACTCAAATGAAAACAGGTAGGAGGATGCCATGGAAGAACGTTGTGTACCTTGTTCATGAAGTGTGTACAGAACATTCCTTGCCAGTGCCAGGAGTGGGAAGCAACTGTGTCCTCACTGATTTGGGAAAAAAAAAGTGGGATGTTTCCCCTCTTTATTAGGAAGCTCAGTTATTTTTCTGTTTGCCCATGGTCATCAAAAGGCTGTATGAAATTGTTTTGAGGGACTGACTGTAGTAAAGTAGTCTAAATTAATTTCCAGTTCCCTGGCCAATACTTAAAGCCCTCGTGGGCACTGGTTGAGGTTTGAATGGAGTCGGAACACCAGCATGGTTGTGAACAGCAGCACCAACAGGTCATTATGTTCTGAATTTTTTAAGCTTTTTGTTTGATAATCACTTCTGGGATAAAAATAAAGAAACGTTTCTTTTCTGCCAAGTTTGTAAATGTGAATGCTGCCAATACTTCTGCAAAATGTCAGGTTTTGCAGAATGAAGAATGTGTCAGGCAATGTTAATTTGGTCTTTTTGACAATGCTGAAGGCTTGCTGTTCCTAAGCATTCCCATTGAAACCATCTCTCAGAGCCCACATCCTTCTCCAGCTTAATTCTGCAGTGATGTCAGAGGCCAGTGCTTATAATATTAGCACGTTACTGTGACTTCAAGAAAATGTGGGCTTCTAGAAAGTAAGTTCATTGTCTGGTTGCTGGTTCCAGCTATTTAAGAAGGAATATGAAACAGCAGCTTTGAAAATTAGAGGTACTTAAGCCATTTCTCATTCACTTTTGCTAGTAATGGCAATGCTATTGTGAGATTCCATTTTTTCTTATGTTTGGAAGAGTATCCCTTTTCAGTCCCAAATCTTACAAAGAACACAGGACACGGGATAAATATGCACTGATAAACAAAAGAGGCTTTCTGATGCAAAAATCCCTCTTCAAAACCTTGCAAGTTCACAGGGCAGGACAGTAAAATATAAAACATCGGAAAGCTATGCTTGGAAGTTACATTCTCAGACTGGCTGGAGACCTGATCCACTCTTCACAAAAAATGATACGGCGTAGTCTGCATCTTCATATAGTAAGAAAAGTCACACGTAAGGCACCAGGCCAAGATGATCTTAACAAGGAAGACCCACACTTTTCTTTCTGCAGCTACAGGGAAAGCTGGGGTTTTCATGTGCTACGAAAGGACTCTGGAATGCGTGTGCCAAAATGTGTGTTTCCACTTGGGAATTCAGGGGGGGTGGAAAGAAAAAAAAAAAAATCTGTAAGCTTCTGCATCCCCTTGTGCTTCAGCTCTGTTGCCAATTTTTTTTTACTGCCCTATTAAAGGGGGGGGGGGGGGACCCAAACCTTTTTTTCTGAAACTTAAAGTATCCTGAATTTAAGTATCCGTTAATGCATATAATGGTTTCTGAAAACACTAATCAGACGAGAAGTTGGTGCAGGCACAGAAAGCTGTTACCAACAGCTACATCCATTTACATGACTAAACCATCTGGTTCATGGAATCCTCGGGCTCTTCTCTTTGTTCACAATTTTCCTTGACATTTGTGTTTAGTCTGTGTTTAGTTTGGCGTAGAGAAGAACTTGGCGAGATGAGAGCTACATAATTTAGCTTGGTTTGCTTTTCTTTTTCACGGCCAAAATGTTGACCCCTAGCCTGCTTCTTGATTATCTTTGGAGCTAAGTGAAATTTTATAATTGTTTTTCATCCACCCAATTTCAAAGGCAGGGCACACTTGAGTACTATAAAATATTCTCTACCAGGATGTAACACATGGCCCTGTCGGTGACTGTGGGCATGTGACCCAGGAAAGAAAACCTTGCTTTTAGGACTAGTGAATTGCATGGGTGCTGGACTCACAATGTTAAATATTTGCACTTTGGAGCAGTAAATGGAATTTCGCTGACCCTTTGCAATGTACTGTACTTGCAGTGGTTTGGAGCAGGCTTCATATGTAGTGGTTGGAGAGCAGCAGCATCACACAAGGTCTGTACATCACCTCTGCACCCAAAGAAGTGGTTGGCGAGATGTTGGCCACCCCATTATCGTGCACACACATAAATACCTAAATAATCACCCAAAAGTGGATGTTCCTACCAATTGCTGAAGCCAGTGCCTTTCAGTTAGACCACTGACAGCAGGGTTGCAGTGTTATTTTAGAAAGAGGCTGTTCACAGGGATCATAACTTCCCAAGAGCCAAAACAGCTGACACTGTTGTGTGTTAACTCAAGGCCTGAGAACACATTGAGATGGATTATACAAGGAAGCTGGTGTGTATCCAAGCCCAAGTGAAGTCACCACTTTTGTGGCGTGGATGGCAGTAGCTGGTTGATCTAATTTTTATACTCTTACCCTCACTACATTCTCAACTTTTCCAGCTTTAACAATTTCCCAGCCGGGAAGAAATGGGCATTTCACATTCCATGCCTTACCTAGCAGTTCTTTGTTAACTGGTGCTCATCCCTGAGAAAAACGTACCTTGGCCAAGGGGTTTGAAGTGTCAGGACGAAGAACATTTCTGACTTTGAGGTGGGAACATGTTGTGGGCCATGTATTTGCAGCAGAGAAGAAATAAATGGAATTTTTTTGGAAAATAACACCTGTTTGGTGTTTTCTAATTATGGACATAAAGCTGAAAATGGGTTAAAGGAAAAAAGGATGACATCGGATTGTCAGAAGGCAAAGGACAGTACCCAGGTCTCCAGAACCACCTGTGACATTGCACTAAAAAGAGAGAAAATCCTGGGGACCCCCCCTGCCCCCCCGCAACCCCCACTTAATGTGCAGTCCTTTGCTGGTCTGTGCAAATGGTCTGCACTTCTCCCATCAGCAGGACTCCCAAAAGCAGTTCACCGGGGCTTCTCCAAGACTGTTTAGATGTGCCTGGAGAAAAGTCGCAGCTTTAAAGTGCTTAAATGTTGAAATAAGGATCCAGGTCCCTTTTGCAGTGGGCATCTTTTCCCTCTTCTGTTACATTCCATTTAAAAATGGGGGGAGAAACCCTGGGAATGTACTCTACTGTCACCAGTCCGCTGTCATTCGTGTATTGCACTACCTGTAGATCCTAAATACTGAGGGAGCAGAAATTCGGAATTGACAGGTTTTGGCAATTCTGATGAAAATTCGCTGTAGTTTTGCAGTATTTTGGTGTGAGTGTGCCTGAAAAGTCAGGCATCGGTTTTAGTGAGTGTCCCTGGAGATGCAGCCTATGGCAGAAGCAGGACTGTAAAAACTGCCTGGATCTCTGACCCTAATTCAGCGAGGGCAGAACAAGCTCAGCTTGCGACGGCTCGCACCGATAGGATCGCTAGTTCAGATCCAAATGCTGGTCTGCATATTGTCCCCGCGCCTGCATGACTTCCACTGGAAACCGTTTAGTTGCATGTGTGCTTTGGAAGGAGAATTTATCCTACAAATTCTTTCGTGCAGTTTGGGATGCACTGGGCAAGATGTGTCTAGCTTGACGTGCAAGTCCCTGGGTGAGTTTTCTCACCCTGCGAGTAAGAAACTTGAGAAGCGAAAGATGTTGTGGAGTTGCACTGCCTTTTTAAAGAGACTTTTCTGGAGTAGAGCTGCAGTCCTGTGAATCCCACTGAAGACTGATAGATGGAAAAAAAAGCTACGTTAGTACTAGAAAAATACACATTTCTTTGCACTTAATAGTTTGTAGAGCTGGAATGTTTTGTCTTGATTTTGTGTTACTTTTTCTTGATACTCTTTACATTTAAAGTATGTATTTTCCTTTGTAATGGCTACTCCTGTTTAGTTTTGAGTAGTTCATAACTGGAAGTTTATGTTTAGGCTGTTACATCTTGCCTTAATCAGAATAAAATGTTGACACATTTGAACAAATGCTCTGAAGAGTCTTTTGAAATGAACGCTAAACCTTCGTGGATCCATGCGATGGTGGTTTCCAGGTTCACTTACAGCAATCTTACTGTCACATGCAGAGCAGGCGAAGTGAAATGAGAGGTAAGAGAGTAGAAAACAGACTGAAAGATGAAAATTACTGTTTTGCATTTCCAGTTATATTCTAATGTACACACTTCTTAAGAGCTCTGTCATGTTCACATGAAGACTTCTCAAAGATTCCCATTGCAAGGGTGCTCGGGCGTTGGTTTTCTCATCCAGGCTGTTTGAAGGTTTTAGTGCTGTGTGCGAGCTAAAAGCAGTAGCTGGATATTCTTTGTGTTTCACGAAAAACTTCTTTATATTCAAGAAAAACTAATGCAGTGTTTTATTTGGCAATGCGCTGCGCTCTTTTGGTCCTGAAATGCAGATCTGAAAACAACTCGACCAAAGAAATAGGAATTTTAATACTACTGCAATAATAAAAAAATCATGAAGCTTTATCCTTGGACTTAAGGAAACAGGAGAAAGAATTGTGGATTAGTCACTATCAGTAGTACTTGAACATAGTTGCCAAATATGAAATTATTCAAATTCTATGCAATACAGGTGATTTTGGCACCCACAAATCCATGAACTGATTAACAGATTTGTTAGTCCATGCAGTCGTGGATAAAATGGTTTCAGGTGAGTCGCCTTGTATTTTCCATGCACTTGTTGCCAAGCGTTTCCGTGGATGGGCTTGATCCTTAGGATAGTTTCTGTCGGTGGGCTTGGTGATGGCAGCTTTAAACAAGAACACCAGAAATTCAAGCTTAAAGGTGAGGAATCTCCTGTTCAGAGGATTTGTACATGTGCAGTCAGGTATTTACATTATTGCTACATCCTCCTCTGTTTCTCTGCCATCTGGAAGAAAACTTGCTAGGATGCTGGAGGCCACATTCTTGCTTTTGCAGAGCAGAACTGCAAAGGAGTCCGGAGAAGTTGTTTATCACTTTCAGCAGACAGCATCACTGACCCAGCATTGCCTACAGTAACCTCACTGCTGCCTGGGAGCAGATCCTCCTGTTCCCTGCACTGACGAGGCACTTAACACTAGTGCCAATGAGCACTATTTAGTCCTCTTCATTTAAGGATGAACTAATGTCCCTTACCCAACGTTATCCCACAGCGTCTGTGCGGGACATTAGTATAGCTCAGCTGACACGCGGTGACTTCTTCGTATATTTGAGCCCAGAGGGTTGCCACGGTAGGATTGAGTGGTGTTGGACTGATCTGGTGTAAGTACGTGGTATGTTGAAATGCCACGAAGGGGAAACAGCCTAGCAGAGATTGCTTTGCAGACATCTTTCTCTTCCCCCATTTAGACAAAGCAGGCGCTGCTGTAGAGGGCCTGAAGTACTGTAACTTTTGCTTCAGAGAGTCACACTGAAAAATGAATTTGTCTGCGTGTTTAATCGTGTGATCTGGAAACTACAATCTGGTTCTCCCAGTGACTCACCGACTGGATGTTGGTACCACTTGTTTTGTCTTTATGATTAGATAAAAATACTGGAAAAGCCATTGATGGGGTATTAATAAAAAGAGCATCGTGAAGTCATCGGAAGAGACAGAACTTAGAGAAGCGTCACTAGTTGGGGATCAGTTTGATTTCCAGCTCCCCACTGGAAAGGGAAGAGAAGGAAAGGACAAGGCAGGTCTTTGGGTGGTTGCAGGCAGCACTGAGCATAGCTGTGGGCAGGGAATGAAGGGAAGAAACCTAGTGCATTGAGTAAATAGCTAATAACAAAGGTAAAGCTGTAATGAGTAAATAGTTTGGAAGACACAGCCACCAAGGAGCAGAGAGGCAGCAGAAAGGACTTGGGAATTAGAGAAATGTCTTTCATGTGCTTGTCTTAAATACAGCCACTTGTATGAAATAGTTGAAGGGTGACACACTGTGTTTAACTTGGTGTACAAACTCCGTAGTGCATCTGTGAAGTTTGTAAAAGATGAGATCAAAAATCAAAAAATGAGAGAGATGGGTGAGGAGAAACTGGAGTGGTTGTAATCACGAGGGAAAAGCTGAAACGAAAAAGCCATAGAAAGGTATTATCGTGTGAAACTATCTATAGTCCTCAAAGGATTAATTTCAAAATGCCCGGGGGGAAGAGCTGCTGCGAGAGGGCTCAGCTCTGGATCAGAAGGGTGCTGCATTTCACCTGGGGGAGGGGAGGGGAAGGGAGGATTGCTGTGCACAGTGTGGTTTTTATCTTCTTCCCCAAATACCTGCTGCTGGGAGGCAGAACTGGGCTCGAGGGGCCTTTGATCCCACCTCACTGTTGCAGCAGCATGCGAAAGGTCCGTACAGCTTGTGGCATCTTCGTCTAAATTAGGTTATAAATTGCCCCGAGCTCTTTGGGTTCCCTCGATTGGCAAACCAGATCAGGGGGAGGGGGCCTTTGGAAAGAGAGAGGGAGGGAGGGATTTGGGACTGACACAAAGTGAGTGGTGGTTAGTTCACCTTGCCCCCAGGATATTCATCTGGCAGGTTTACAGATAGAAGATGTGACTTTACCACTCATGGTGGCAGAAGCAGAAAATGTAAACATTCACAGTTAGATTAGTTCTTTAGCTGTGGGAGCGAAGGGCACCATGGCAAGCAGGGTGTGGGGTTTGGAACAGCTTTATTTGCTGGTCACTGAGACTGGACAGTTTTCCCCTGTGAATGCAGAGAGCCTTTCTTTTTGGAGGGAGAAGTCAGTTCTAGGGGAGTCTTATGTCAGCAAGACATAGGGGCCCATAAACCATTATTTCTGATAGGCAAGCAAAATGGTTAACTGAGTGTGTCTCTAGATTTCATACCATCAAACTGTCCAGGAAAAGTCTGCGTATCTCTTAGAGCTGGTTTGTTTTTTTGGTTTGGGGGGTTTTTTTGGGGGGGTTGTTTTTGTTTTTGTTTTTTAAGCTGTTTGCAGACTTGGGAGACAATACTGCATTGTTTACCCCATGTTTGTTACCAGAAGTTTGTTATGAAATAGGAGTTGGAAATAAACTCTTTGAAAAGTTTGACTCTGGGACAGAAACCTGCAGTGAGGTTTGAATTCCACAACAGATGCTGGTACCACTGATACCATAAAATAAGTGTGATCTGTAGTGTAAGGATGAGAGAAGGTGGTTGCTTCCCAAGAATGCCTAGATTTCATTCATTGCTTGTAATTAATTGCAATAATTTTCTGAAATCCTAGTTTTTATAACAGCTTTATCAGAATTCCTACAAAGTCCCAGTAGAGAGCACCTTTTCTTATGAATTTGACCTCTGTCTTTTTCTCTGTCTGTTTCATGCAAGTAGGAAGCTCTGATGCTTGCCAGTTTTCATTCCTCTAGTGATTTTGCAAAGTGTAATCATTGTAAAGTGCAATTGCTTAATATGTAGCTCATTCACTGAAACCCCAAGGATAAAGGCAGTGAGAAATGCGAGTCATTACCAGAGCAACGGTATCTTAAAAGATGAGGAGTCATGCATCAAGTACCAATCCATTTAGTCTTGAATTAAGGATTTAAAAAATCACTAGTCAGATGTGATTGGTATTATCTCCAGGCAACTTAAGGTAGTTAACCTGGAATGCTGTGCTGCTGATAATGTTTTTCTCTTTTGGTATTAGAAGTGCTGAGCAGTTACGTGTCCCCGCTGCTCTGTTTGTCTGTCCGAGACACCTGTAGACCAGCAGCTTTCCCCGGTGCCATCTGTGCCTCTCTTTCCTTCCCAGGCACTTCACTCCAGGAATTCAGAAGCTTTGTCCAGAAAAGATGAAGAACTCTTCTGGCTTGATCAGCAACGTTAGGGTTCAAACTCCTGTTCTTCAGTCACACTTGGTTTTATTCAACCATCCAGGTTTCAACCATTTTTTGCTTTTCTTTCTACCAAATCATATGAGCAGGAAGAAATTTCTTCTCCATCTCATTCCAGTGAGGAACTTTTTGGTCCAAGGACATAGAATTTGACTGGACAAGGTACTATAAATGACCAGAGCATTAACATTTCCGTCATCGTAACGAGAGGGTAGTTTGCAGCTTAATAGGTGGTGTGAGCTATTATTTTTTAACAGGCTTTGAGATGTGTGAGGGCCTAAACCAGCTCAGTGCTCTACAGCATGACACTGGATGTAGCAGTCTGAAGGGGCACCATTCAACACAGGTGCAGTGATTTATGCACGCTGATAAATCAGGAGTTGCGGTTTGCTTCCAAGGTTTCCCGTGGGAACAAGAACGGCAGGCTTCCTGAATTACACTGAAAAAAACCCAAACAACGAAGAGAGGCATGTGCTAGATGTCTGTAGCTCTCCTGAAGTCAAGAGGACTCAGGCAGCATTACACTAGTTTGGGATCTGCTATTGCAGGTATTATAAGGTCAGTGATATTATTAGGAAGGTGAAATAATACGCAATAAATGGGTACACCAGTCTATGACATTGCTCATGGACCACATTTATAAGTAATTGTATTATAGAGACACCTTTAATTTGTGCATCAAAACCAGACCACAGCCGCCTTCTGTGACTTGATCGGTCTTAAAATAGGGGTTATAATCAGCAAGCTGTGCTACTGTGTGTCCCCTCGCTAAAAATACTCCAGGGAACGTAACAGCGCACCACAGATAATCTTTAGTTTATATTTATTGTAAATTAGGTATGCGTAATCCATTTCTCCATACTGATTTTTGTCTTTATATTGATTTCTCAAGTCTTTTGGATGCAACTTCTTTATTCTGCACTTTCTGTAGCTGTGGAGAAGCCCCTGAAACACTGTCGATACCGTTAGGGCTTTCCTCCTCCCTCTGCACGGTGCGTTGCTTTGCACTGCATTGCACGCCACGCCCAGGCTCAGAACACACAGCATGTACCTTGGAGAGTCTCTTTAAAATAATATTTTAATTTTTTGTACTAGATTGCGTAGGAACAGATAAGACGCTTACATTGGTAGCCTTTGAGCTTTTGGGATGTTGCCACTTCACGTAGGGATCTCAAACACACTGGAAGTATGTCCATGAAATTCATTACAGCACTACGGTTTTCTAAACGAGCCGATCCGCTTCGCAGGAAGTCAAGTGACTTGAAAAGAAGAAGCTATGGCTGAAACCTCGCAATGTCAGATGTCAGAGTAGGTGATGCAGTAAGGAAACAGAACTGTTCCATTAGATCAGAGGTTTACAGGTCACTGGTCTAGAAAAAGTATGTATTTCACAGCAGAAATGATCTTTTAGATACTCCATTTGTATACCTGATTTTGTTGTGACTTGGATGTCACCCTTAAACATGGGTATACAAAATCCCTGGTGGCATTACATTATATGAAAAACTATGGGTTTTTTTCTTTTTTTTCCCCCTGTTTGCTTGAGCTGGGAATCCTCAACAGAAACTGTGAGAAGGAAAACTTGAGGTTTAAGTCTACTACAGTCCCTGAAGGTAGCTGCACACAAGCAGACTACTCCGGAGAGTGTGAGAAACAAACTGTGCTTTTAAAGGCAGGCTTTAGGAAGCCCTCCAGATTTGTCCAGTTGTTCTGAAGCTGGTTTGCAGGTGTAGTGCTGGGCTACGGGACATCCAGAGCTTGCATCATCTGCTTAAACTCTTCAGACTGGAATAGATTCACTGCCGTGCCTGGCTGCATCCCTGCCCTCATAGCCTTAGCCAAGGAAACGCGAAAATCCCATCGAAGATGAAAACCAGCGGCACGTCCCGCAGGCACCTGTGTGCTCCTGACCTGGAGAACAATCTGCGGAAGACTGGAGAGCTGTGGGAGGAGTTCTGCAGAAGGTAGACACCGAGGTGCTACATGGAGATTTCTTACAGTGTCTGTCCCACCGCTGTCGGGCCAATGTACACTTTCCACTATTCAACAAATCAGGAAAAAAACTGTGCGTGTAGCTGTAAGATTTGTTGTCCATCAGTGATTGCAGTGGTTATTAACTGTCACCTCGTTGTTCTTTCAGTCATCACCTACAGTAAGAGGTAGAGTCCTTTGTTTCTGTCAGTTCGTACATATACGGGTTTTATGGGGTTTTGTTTTTATTTGGGGGGGAGGTGGTAGTTGGCTGGTTCAACAGGGAGATTTGTGAAGATTACTTTTGTTTTAATTGTTGTATGTTGAAGTGTCGAGATTTTTTTTCTGAACTGAGCAACGTTTTGTGATTGTTTACTACCGGTAATGTGGCACTCGTGAAAAGAAAAAACCCAAAACAACCAAACAAAACACGCACAGTAAAAAAGCCACAGAAGTATTAAGGCCTTCCCTTTCAAAACTTTCTTTCCTGATGCTAGTGTCTCTGCTCAGCATTTTTCTCCAGAAGATTTATTTTGCTTAAGTGATACTAATGATGGGGGAGGATGTCTTTTCCTCAGGGTCCAACTTGCACCCATTCCTGCTGACGGTGGGCAGTTGGCACGGGGCGACTGCCCCCTGCTCTGAAATGGCACAAAGTTGCCCTGATCAAAGGGCCTGGTTGTGCCGGAATTCATCTGAAGAGTCTTAAACTGATTCCTATCTTTTCTAACTGGAAAAGTTACACATTGATAAGCTGAGGGGAGGCTTTAATGATATTTAATAGATGCAGCTCTCCAGTAGGGCTTTCTCTGGTTTAAGAGCAGCTTCTTACGTTTCATTTCAGTTGGTCTCCACCAGGTTTGCTAATCCCGTGTATGCCGACATGGGTTAAACACTGATTTATTGTTTTACTAACGGATAGAAATCAAACTGGTGCAACTGCCTCAAACCAGACAATTTGGCTGCAGTGAGGCAAACCCTCCTGCATGAATATTTCTTGTTAGAATCACGTTTCTACCAGTTTGTGTTGGGTAATTCATTGCCAATATAAGCTTTATCAATATAAACCAGTCAGTGAGAATCTTTCCATAAATAAGAACGTTTATTATCATCTTGCATAAATAGGAGCAGTTTTGTGCATGAATCGGATACGCTGGTTTAAACCCACTTGCCACAGTTCAGCTTGGCTTCGTTACACAGGCAGGCGCAAGCTGAATAAATACAACCAACGTTCAATTCCTACAAAACCATTCACATATAAACGGCTCTGGAAAAGCCAGTTTTCATTTCAAACCAACCCAAACAATTCTTAAGTTTCCATTACAGAGTTTTCACTGGTATCAGTTAATAGACTTTAAAAGGTGGCAGTTTAGTGAGTGAGGATGACTCAGTATAGTCAATGAGTTACATCCACTCACTGATGTAACCTGGACTACAGGTTAGTAATGGACCTGGTAACGTTGATCCTCCAGAAAATAGCTTTATTTGCCCACTTGCTGTTCCAGAGTCAAAGGTGATGCACTGGGTTGCCTTAGGGCGACGTGCTACAGCCTGGCAGTGGGTCCTTCAGCACCTCGTTGCTGCTGGCGCACCCACAGCAAGCACGAAAGGGCCCGGGGAAAAGGTTTTCTGTGCACTGGGGGACATCCGTGATGGTTTGCAGGGACTTCCCTGCTCCACACCTGGGCTGGTAGCTCTGACCTGCCCAGAAGGATGAAGCCCCAGCAGGTGACTCACTCAGAGCTGGCCTTTTTTGGCTGAAGGTTCATTTTTTTGGTTTTGTTGTTTGGTTTTGGTTTGGTTTTTTTTTTTTTTTTTTGTTGGTTTTGGTTTTTTTGTTGTTTTGTTTTTTTTTTTTTTTTTTTTTCTAGGGAAGTGCTTGAAATGCTTGGTCAGCCTGTGCACCGCACTGCTCCCGGGCGCTGCCGCTTGCTGGCTCGCCCTGCTTCAGGCCACCAGATACTTGGGTTCGTCGGGCCGGAGTTTGGTGACCTTGTCCACGCAGAGCAGGATGAGAGTCAGAAACCAGAGGCTCCAGCCAACGGCGGCTGCGATCCACCCGTAATCGTCCACCCCCGTCGGGCAGCACGTGGCCGCTTGCGCGCAGAAGTTCATGTCTGGCGGTGGAAAAATGAAATGAGCTGAGGGGAGACCAATACGCAACAGATTTTCTTTGCAGATGAGGCAGTGACTTCGCTGCCTGGCCTGCGGGCTGTCAGTCTGCCTTGGCACCTTTCTCCTACGCCTGGCTCTGAACCCGAGGGGTGGCAAGATTCAGTTTCATCTGTGTGTCTTCAAGGCTCAGCCATCCCAGTGTGGCCAAACGCCTGAGCTGCTGCTCTAACTACTGAGCCCACCGTTATATAAATCTTTTAAGATTCCTACATAGCATCTCCTCAGTCATTTATGAACGGGGTATGATAGCAGTAGCTAGTTAAAATTAAAAATTAACCCGAGGTAGAGAAACCTTCCTGTGAGAGAGCGAGAGGATCTTGAGCAGAGACACCTTCAGCAGGATCTCCAGCGGTTTATGTACCCAAAAACTCTGCCAGCAACAGCACCAGTGGCTGCTCTCCGCTGGGCTGTTAACCCTGACTTGCCTGTAACAACTGCAAAACGCACCACCATTGGGAAAACCCTGGTTTACATGTTTAAAAATAATATATTTTTTTAACATTTCCATGTATCTTTTCTTGCACCTTTTACATCTTTTGTTGTTGTTGTTTAAATCAGTCTCATTTCCTGAAGTCACTTAAGGAACGTGTCATCCATTGTTTCATTTCTGCTGCTGTTTAAAGGCACCTGGCATTATTTTTCCATCCCGAGGGCACAGTGAAGGTACCTCGCTCCAGGTCTGCATCCTGGGTGGTAACGTGGGAATATCAAAGGGAGCCTGGGGGCCCATGATATCTCAACCCCTTGGGCTGGAATAGAAGCTGAGGGGGAAACCCTGGCACCCAGGAGAGCTGAGGCAGCCGAGACCACCTTGCAGCTACGTGCGTTGCGTGTGGACGTGCATGAAGCTTGCCAGCTGTGAAAAGCGAAGGCCTCCCGAGCTTGGTGCAGGGCAGCCAGCCTCCTGCACCTTTCCAGGGAAAAGGCAAGTGCAGGTGCTGCTCAGGTACTCTCATTCACGTGTGTCAGGCAGAACCGTGTGTGTGCCTGCGCGTTGGCCTTCAGTGCCCACAGAACAATTGTCCTGTGCCGCAGACAGCAGCTCTTCCCCCGACGAGGGATGTGTTTTGTATGTGCCGAGAGAAGGGGAGGGGGTGCCTGGCCCCTATACCCATGTCAAGCTTTGAGGTAGCATACCTCTATGGGAATGCGTACGATAATTCAGGAAGACTGGGGACGTTTGACATTTGGGACTGGGAGGGCCGGTGGGGATCTCAGGTTGCCTGGGACTGGCTGTTTGGGGAAGACCTGGTGGGGTGGGGGAAAGAGGTGCTCCTGAGAGCCCACATGGTGCCTACAGGCAGGCAGTCTGGCAGGGGCCTTTACGACACACAAACTGATTTAGCTATGCATCCATCTGAATATACCTAAGATACAGAGGGTCATGCCAGTGGAGGAGTCCTAGAAATGTGTCCTAGAGTTTTTTTACCCGCAGTGGAAGCTTTGACAGCAGATAAATCCTTTTCCAGGACGGCCTCTCAGTCACCTGTGTAGTCTCATCACCTGGCTTTATCATGGTAGTAATGATTTATGAAGACTTACTAAGACATGGTGCTTCGTACTCAGTTGTGAGCATGGAGCTTGTTGAAACATTGGAGACATCTTCAGCTGCTGCCAGAAGGAAAGCACAGGAGAAAGGGTAAATTGGGTTAGAAAAGCAAAACTGGGCATCGAGTGTGAAAATCTGAAAGCCGTTGGTCTTGCAGAGGTCTGTAGGATGGAAACAACCTGGAGAAAATAAGTTCCTGCCCCTAAACATTGCTGCACCAGCGTATGGCTCCTCACCCCACCACTACCTGAATATGACCCTGATGTGAGCCATTCACTCAGAGCTTAAATCAGCCACTGTCTCTTCCTGAGCTGCAGGGACAGAACGAGCAAGGGCTGACGAGAGAGAGCATCCAGTGCTAGGGGGAGATCCATGGCCAGCAGGTTGTATGCCTGCCTCCTTTTGCCCTTAGAAAAATCCCGGCGGTGTGGAGGAGTCTGGCTGAGCCCATCCGTGTGGAGCCTCAGCAGATCCACCACAGCCTCAGTGGGAAGCTTTGGCTTTGCTCCAGTTCAGGTGCCAGCTGGGTCTGAAACCCATTAACCAGCTCAGACTGGAAAATACAACATACAGAAATAAGGGAGGGAAGGGGACAGGGGCTTCCATGAAGGTTTTTCTTCTCTATCCTGCTTCCTACCCAGAATCAGAGCACACACGTGCACACACAGCACTGTGACAGGTCTCCAGGCGTCCAAATCTGTATATGGTGCCACAGGCCAAAGCCTCCTTAGACCTCCTAATCCCCCCTTTGCTCCTCAGCTTCCGCGTGCACCTCGTAGCACTGCAGGATCAGAAGCAAGGGCAGGTGCAGGACACCTGTGCGGGAAAAGCATAGGGCTGCTGCGCTCCCTGTGCATCAACACCAGCCCGGCCCCCCCTGCAGAAGGAGGGAGACAAAGAAATATCTCCTCCTGGGCCACTATGAGCAGTACAGTTCACGTTCAGCCAGATGAAGTATCCGATGCTGAAATGGTCCCTTGCAGAGATGCATGAAAACCGGCCTGGAGAGGCCACAGGAATGAATAAGGGCTCCTGCTGCGTGCAGCTAGAAGGGCTCCAAGGTGCTGCTGGTCCACAGACCAGGCAGGGGCTATGGGAGAACTATTTCCAGTCAAACTACTGAGAGAAAATCAGTTCCAGCTTGATTTCACTGGAGACTTCGAAATAATGGCTCAAGTTTAGTTTCAGCTGAGGAAAACCAGACAGGACAAGCCCTTTGACCAAACCTTTGCTTTGAGTTTGGTGTTTTTCAGGTAACAGCAAATAAACTGAGGTTGTCCTGCAGGAGAGTTCCCCTTTCGGGTCACCTGCTGTTGCCCACTTTTGCATTTTGAGCTGACCAACCATCAGCAAAACCAGAGCTCTCCCTATGACCGCTGCCAGGCTGGGAGCAGGTCCCCGGGCAGCCCCCTCCAGGGAGGGGTCCGAGTACTCCCCAGTCCTCTTTCTGACCCTGCTAGGACTCGCTGAATGACCTTGGCCAAGCCCATAATTTGCTTTCCGAGTTAATAAATACCACATGGGAGCACCGGGAAGAATCATTAAAAACTGCGTATGACCTGTGGAAGAAAGTGCTGCAGAATACAGAGTGTTGGTTCACGTTTATAGACTTTCCAGCCCAAAGGACAGGCTGTCAAAGCTAACCCATTTTTAAACATCTGGCAGGTCTCAACCGGTGCTGATACACAAATGCAGGCAGTAGCCTGATGGGAAAAGAACAGCCCACAGGTCTCATTTACATTTTATTTTTAGGCAACTTCTCCAATTAAACGGGCACCAAAGCCAGATTTCTTGCAAAAAAAAAAAAAAAAAAAACAAACACCTAATAAGAGCTAAACCGGACTACAGTGAGCCTCCTGGATGGTATTTCAAACGGTCCCTTGCCTCGGTAAGCACGTGAAGGCCAAGTAACTGTGGTCTCCTATTTCCTTGCCATTCAGTGGAGCAACCTGCAGCTCAGCCACATTTACAGTGGATCTGTAAACAACTGGCAAAAGCACCTCTCCAGAAAGATGCCGTGATCAATCATGTCAAGTAATTCTCATTAACGTTAATCAAGTCCAGCTCCTTCCACTTTTTAGACGAGACAAGGGAGTCCACCTTGCTTTTAAAGAACAAATTACTGCCAGTGGGCAATATAGTTAGTAGGAGGAAGTGGGTATAGCAGCAGGTATAGTAGCAGGAGCGCGGGGAAAAGGCAGGGTATGGAAACTGGGGTATAGGAGAAGAGAAATACCTGCTGAGCAGGAACGCTGGAGCATGGTGGTGAGGAAGAGCACAGCGAAGGCTGCCCGCGGCTCGCAGGAGAAGTGCTTCATGCTGGGGGCCCGGCTCCCACCCGAGCAGCCGCACCGATCGGGTCCCCGTCGCCGGCAGCTCGGGCGCAGCAAATTCTCGGTAAGCCGGACGAGCCGGCGTGCAGGGCAGAGGGTGGAGCAAAGGAGCTGCCTGCTGCCAGGACACCCTGAACTTTCCTGCCACGACCGGGTGAGGAAAGAGAAGGGCTCTGACCAAAACAGCTCCATCAGGAGGTGGCTGCCCGCGCCGAGGCAGGCGCAGGGCCCCCGAAGGTCAAGCCTGAAGGTTTCTCCCCAGGATCTGCTGCAGCTGGAGGGAGGAAAGGCCTCGGGAGCCAGCCCTTCCCACCAGGGTCCCAGGCAGCTTCTGAGTCTCCTTTTGGTTCTGCAAAGGTTTAATAGAGCTGGAAAGGAGCGGAGGATCAGGGTGGAGAATTTGTCTCCCTGTGTGGCTTCGCTTTTGTACATTTGCTGGCTTGACCTCCCCCAAAACTGCCCAGCAGTGATGCTTTTTTAGGGGGAGGGCTGCGTGGAAGCCTAAAATAAAGCAGTCTTTGGTCATGCTGGTACAGCAGCTGCCGAGTTAACACGGGATATGGGCACATTTCCACCAAGGCATGGGATGAAGCCAGTTGCTTCGTGTGGGCTACAGTAACAACAGTCTTTCCTTAAGGGCCTGTGTTGGGTTATGGGCTGGGAACAGTTCAAGTTTGGGGCTTCTGCACAGGGGAAGCTGCTGCTGTCCTCGCCCCATGAGCACAGCCGTGCCGCTGCCTCCATCACCCATGTGCGATATGATGATGAAAAAGATTTTTTTTTTTTTTTTTTTTTTTTTAATTCTGTTGTAGTTACGCCACCTTCCCCTGTGACACGGGCAAAGCTGAGAGCTGCATCTCCCCAGCACAGCTGTATCTGCAGACCAGGAGGGGTGCTGGCAAAACGGTAACAGCCAGAGGACAAGATAACGACAAGCGCCGCGTGTTGCTGCAGTTCCCCAGGCTGTTGGCTCAGCTTGCTCCCTTCTTTGACCCACTGCAATGTCCTTGTTAGAGAAAACTTCAGGCACTAAGTCGGTCAGGAAGGTACTGGGAGAGGTGGGCTCAGCGGGGAGCAGGCTGCTGGTGCTCTTCAGCACACACAGCTCCGGGTGCTCATGTGAGAACGGAGCTGTCTGGTGCCTGTTTGGGCTCTGCAGCCATCCCGTGGGAGGCAAGGGGGAAGGTACCTGGGCCAGCAATCCTAGTAGGACAGACAGTATCTCAAAATTTTCTTTTTTTTTCCCTCCACACTGCTGGAATCCACAGGGAGGGGTGTAATAGACTTCCCACATGAACTGGGGGGAACCGCATACAACGGGGTGCTGCTGTGCAAAACTGGGAGACTTGTTTGGTCTCCCTTTGTTTCGAAAAAAGCTTAAGAGCAAAACCCACGCAGGCTTAGCCCTGCCTAGTGTTTAGGGGGTGAACCCACTTCTCCTCCCTGCTGTCCACACCCCACCCTCCCCAAAAACACTCCGCTCCCCTCCAGCTGCCAGTAGTTCCACGATGCAGCGTGACGTGGGCAACCAGAGGTTTCCCCTGGAGAAAGGGCAGGCAGGGCAGCCGAAACGGGCACCTTTCCCCTCCTTGTCTCCCTGTTTTCATGTCAACATGCTGCCGGGGCTGGCGGAGCCCGGGCTGTGCCAGCCGGTCCCCGACAGCCGCCTCCCGCTGCCGCGGGGCTGCGTGGCCCCGTCCTTGGGGTGACACCCGAGGGGTGGCCCGGGGTGTTCCGTGCTCAGCTGGGTGCAGGACCCCAGCAGCCACCGCTCTTGGCCTCCGTAAATGCGAGTCACGGCAGGAGAGATGCCGGAGAAATGCTCCAACCGCCCAGAGTTTCTCGAAATTAACCTGTAGGATAATCCTCACCGCTGCCTCGTTTCAGTGTCTGAGTCCTTTCGTGACAGTTGTCTTTAATTTCTGTTTTTATCTGCGTGCTCTGCTGGATCAAAACTAAAACTCAGCTCTTTACTGGGGAAAAGCTCTCTGCTTTATTCCAGCTTCACCATTCCCTCCTGAATTTCTCATCTGTGATTCCTGCTGGAAGTTGACCTGGCAGTTAATTTTGCAAAAATAATGAGTGCAAACGTGTTCTGTGCAGCACAAAATGTTTGAGGGGAAATTAAAAGGCAAAACAACTCTGCTATTGCGCGAATGATTAATATGTAATGCGGTCTCATTTGGATTTTAACTATTACCTCAATTCTTTTTGTCAGCTTGCAGGTAAATGTGCACATTTCTAAGGGATTCTGAAAATGTTTTGCACAATTAACATAATGTATTTCTTTTCCTTTCCAAAATGTGCTCCCTCTGTGGTTCAGAAAGAGCTCGCTCCGAAGCCTCCTGAAGCAGTGAACAGGCTGTGCTTGGCTTCAGTGATTTTTGGACCGGATTGGAGATGAAGGCTTTGCTTGATAAGTTCGGACACAATGGGAGCCCTATAAAATCATCTCCGGATGCAGACTTGGATTTGTTTCATTTCTTCTTTGTAACACGTTCATATTTCAGTGCCGTGGCTGCCCGAAGAGCAATAAGACTCTCCAAAGCCTTCCCTAGCTTGGTTCCTAGGCACTGTCTGAACTCCATGCCTGTCTCCGTGGGGTGCCCTGGCACACGAGGCACGACTGTGGTACCAGCAGAGACAGGGGCTTCCTTTCCTGGGGCTCCCCTTTCCATGAAGTTCTCAAGGTGGGACTCTGTTTGCTCTAAAATTAGCAACTTCCCCACTCCTCCCCTTGGAGACTCTTCCACAGTGTCTAGGGCTGCTGGTCAGCTTTTCCTGGTGATTATGAAGGAGGCAATACCTACTGTTTGGTATATTTTGTGCCCCAGAGAGCTTCACAGTTAAAGTTCTCTGCTGACCTAAGGTATTACCCTTGACATACCACCACCAGGTGTGGCTCTCAGAAAGTTATTACCTTTATCACCCACGTACACACTCACTCTGTATATATACGTTTTCTGTTTACATAGGCAACTTGTTTGTATTTTTAATTCCAAATGAAAACCGATTGCTGCTGCGATCCTGTTCCATCCCAGCGGTGACCAGCATGCTGGCAGCTGAGCCACGGCACAGTATTTAACTCAGGGCAAAACACACAACCCACAGGAGCATAGCAGACAGGTGCATCATCTCTGGGCATATCAGTAATAAGAGGACAAACGCTTTTTTTTCCGTACGACACTTGAGGTTGGGTTAACTACATCCCTGCTCTCATTTCAGTGTACCTGAGGTGCTGCTCTGCTTAGCTGCTTTGGTGAAAGAGAGCTCGACCGTTAACCTCTCATATAATCACACAAAACCTTCTGCGTGGTGGAGCTGAGCGTGGAGTGACTGTAGCTGAGATACTTGTCCCAGAGCTGCCGGGAACTTCCCCGGGCTGCTGAAAGGGGAGACAGCCTGGCTGGAGGGGCTGCGTGCTTGGGACCCCCCGCATCTCTGCCTGTGGGCGCACGGGGATTAGCTGCCAATTCCCAGTTATTACTCGCACGGGCTCACAAGTTATTATTCAGAGCCTGTGAGGTCATGGTGCTAAACACCAAGGGGGATGCTAGGTGGTCTGTGCTGTTGGTGACACCGCGGGGGTGACGCTCTCTCCCGCATTTTTTTTGGAGGTCACGGAATCCCCAAGCGCAGCTCTAGAACAGGCGACTGTTGGGAGGGCAGGTCTGCCTGTTAGCAGACCCCTGTCTTTGTATTGCGGGGTGGGCTGCCTCTCAGCTGGCCTTCATAAAGCTCAAAAAAAGCTTCAGGGCCTTTATAAAGCCCTCAAAATGCCTTTAAGAAGCTCAAAACCTTAAGCTTGATGCCAATAATGTGTCCATCAGGAAGGGGGGTGTTTTGTTTGGTATCTTCACTGATATGAGAAATAGCAATCTAAGAAAAAGCTACCCATGAACAGGGAATCTGAGTTTTAAAACTAGGCAAACAGAGGAAAAAAAATAAAATCAAAACCACAAGGGTTTTACTCTTAAAATGAAATAAGGGGAAAGAGAGTCTTCCTTCTGTTACACAGAAGAAAACGGGTCTAGCATCCCGAAAAACTCCACAACCGTGCCCTTTGTGTTTTCCAGGCCAAGCTGGGGTTGCTATTAGACAACTGTTGAGGCTGTGGCCCTGCTGTGACCCCCCGCTGTCCCTCCGGACACCCCAGCCAGGGAGCCCAAGACCCGCCGGGCGGGTGGCCCAGGGCTGCCGGCGCCGACGAGCCCGCTGAAGGGGCTCCTCCCGACGGCGCCTCCTCGCCAGATCTTTAGGAATAAGGTCATCACAAAATAACGTTCTTCCTTCCGCGGGCCAGAGGCATGAAATAAGAGATGTGCATTCTGCTTCTCGCCTCTGCCCGGGAAGGGGGGCAGGGAAGAGCAGGAGGGATGGCTTTCTCCCCGCGCTCCGCGGCCGCTCGCTCCTCGGCTGGCAGGAGGGGGTGGCCGGCGTAGCGTGGCTTGCTTCGGCGACAAAGTGTGCGCTGGGGGCCCTTCCTGCTCTCCCCCACCCCAACAGCTCGTCAGGGAGTAGCTGAGTGTAAGCGTGGGGCTGACTAAGAGCGGGATAGGGGCAGGACAGAAGCAAACCCTAGCGCCAGCAACCGAACGCAACAGCTTCGCCGGGGTGAAGATTGCGCTGCGGGGGGCAGATGTGGGGCGTGTAGCCTGAGAAACTGCTTAATTTTGTGGTGTCTGTATACGTCAGCTGAGAACTGAATGACGACTCCTCTTATTTAGCATTACAGCGTGTGCTGGAAGGGAAGGTCCTTCCCTTCCCACGCCAGCTCCTCCACAGCCCCGCACGGTGGACGTGCGGTCAAGGGCAAGGACTTCACTTCTGCCTTACCAAGAGAATTTCCAATTTCCCATCAGAAAGTGCCGACTTTCATCAGCCTGTACTCCCTTTCTTTGGTAGCACGGACGGGGGGAGCAGGGCTGGCCACGGCGGTGCAGCCGAAGCAGGTGGGAGGCCAGGGAGCCCTGCGGCCGGCTCAGCCGGGCAGCGGCTGAACAAAATGAACGTTTTAGGCCTACCCGTCGAAATTACCTTATCATTTTTAATGACTCCTTTTTTGGGTTGCGCAGCTTGGGGCGGCTGGATTTCAGAAAGCGGCGGGAGCCCTCCCGCACTGGCTGACCTCACGAAG